TTAAAAACTAAGTTAGATCATGTCATGCCTATGTTTGAACCCTCATGATCAGTGATTTGCCATCCCTTGCAGAATGAAACACAAACTTTAACCACAGCATCCTCAGAAGCCTATGTGATTAGACCTCAGTCTGCCCTCGCTAACCCAACTCCTACTACCTTCTCTGGACTCACCATCTCGGCCAGTACTTCTCACCCCACCTGAACCTTACAATCACCTATGGAGGTTTTTAAAAATACAGATGCCTGCAGCCTACCCCACACCAACTAGTTCAGCATAGTGATGGGTGGGGCCCAGGCATGGGTAGATTTAAGGGCTCCCAGGTAATTCAGTGATCCAAAGAACTTTTAGGTACACCACTCTTCATTTTTCACAAGCATCATTCATTCTCCTCTAAGGGCCAAAGTATTTGCTATTGCTTCATTCTGGAATGTTCTTCCCCTGATTATCATATGGTACTCCCTTTTTAGTAAATTCAAGTCCAAGCTTTCTTGGATTGCTTTATCTAACTTGGCCCTCTGCCACTCTGTTCTCCCACACTTCACCATTCACTCCCTACCACATTAGCTTATTTTACTTTCTCCATACCTTTGACTGCAGAGCACTAAATTACAAGATTATTCAAAGTAGAGCACTCCATCTTCTCTTTTATTTCTTAGAATGTCTGATAGAATTTTCTACAGCATACATGTACAACGTGTAGTAATCTCTATTCATTGCCTAATGCTCCAGACAGTAATAGTTGCATCATCTATCACATGTTGACGATATTCCAGTTGACTCATCAGGTCTCAGGATAACTGAGAAAAGTCGAGTTTTATTCTATTTCCTTGGAAGTCTACTGTGCAAAGTTCTTTAGATTTTACTCCATGGCTTCTCCATGACTGAACTGAGCGCATTTCAAAAGAGCAATTATTATTTCTACGTTGTGGCTGTTAGCAAATAAGTGAGTGAATGAGTGAAAACATAAATACATAAGTACTGTACGGCCTGGTATGTATGTTTTCCTAACATGTCCCCTTGCTGCTGAATGCTCCAGAGGTAATAGTAGCATCACCTATCACATATTGACAATATTCTAGGAGCCCTGCTTAGCACTTCACATGCATTCTCATGAACCTCTCTTCAGATTGTTGTTGACATTATCCCCATGTTCCTAAAGAGAAAATTGAACCTTAGAAAGAAACTTGCCTGATATTACATAATGGAAACTTGTCTTAGTGCATTTGGGCTGCTGTAACAATACCACAGATGGGGTGGGTTAATACCAGATTTATTTCTCATAGTTCTGGAGGCTGAGACAGAGGTCCACGGTCAAGGTGCTAGCAGATTCAGTGTCTGGTGAGGACCTGCTTCATGGAACACAGTTGGCCATCTTCTTTGTGTCCTCAAATGGAGAATGCGGCATGGAATCTCTCTGGAGTCTCTATTTCAACAAAACAAAACACACCTTATTTATTCTTGAGGGAGAGAGAGAGAGAGCATAAGCTGGGGAGGGACAGAGACAGAGGGGGACAGAGGATCCTAAGTGGGCCCTGTGCTGACACCAGAGAGCTCCATGCAGGGTTCAAACTCACAAACCATTACCTGAGCTGAAGTCAGCTGCTCAACCAGCTGAGCCACCCAAATGCCCCTGGAATTTCTTTTATAAGGGAACTAATCCAATTCAAGAGGGTTCCACCCTCATGACCTAGTTACCTCCCAAAGGCCCACCTCCAATACCATCACACAGGGGGATAGGATTTCAACGTATGAATAACAGAGGGTGGGCGACAAACATTATAGCCAAACTTGAATCCAGGTTAGAAGACTCCAAAGCCTGTGCTTTTCACAATAATCTTTCCCATCTTTGGCCTTCGGCTTCTCTTTGCTATGATGCTTTTGTAACCGCTTCTCTGTGTGGCAGTTTTCTGCCATCGAGACTTGGTCTAACAATCACTTTTTCATAGGCCTCTCTCCCTCTCCAGGCCCTAATTTATGATGCCTGCCTCTATTATATCTCTTGAGATTCTTTTCTCATATTTACTTGTCCATATCCCCCATTCAACTATGAGCTCCTCAAGGACAGTGAGCCTTTCTCAGCCAGTAATGCCTGACAGAGGATAACCGCTAATGTTTATAACCTAAATAGGGGGATGAGTCTGTTTCAACGATGAAGTGAACACCCCAGACATTTTAGGTTTCCTTTTGCAACTCATGATGGATCTGTCATCCTGAGTGATCTCAAACCTTCTTAAACCTCTTTTTTAGCCTGTAGCACACCGTTTGTCTCTTGCAGATAGAGCATTCAGAGGTTTCCCAGAAACAAGCATGGATTGTGTCAAAATAATCCAAGATTTAAAAAAAAAAGTATGACTCACAAAAGTTAGAGACTTAATACATAATTGTTGGCATGAGAGGATAGGAGGGTGATAAATGATAAGTGGGAAATATTCTTCAAGGTCGGAAACTCTGGCTTGTGTCTCAGCTCTGCCATTATACAAACTGGGTATCCTTGAGCTACCCATTTTGTTTATTTCATTCTCACAGGTAAAATTTGATTTTTATATCAGTTTGGTTTATTTATTTTTTTAGTTTGATTTATTTACTTTCAGAGAGAGAGAAAGAGAGCAGGGGAAGGGCAGAGAGGGGGAGAGAGAGAGAATCCCAAGCAGGCTCCACACTGTCAGTGCAGAGCCTGATGTGGGACTCAAACCCACAAATCATGAGATCATGACCTGAGCCAAAACCAAAAATTGGATGCTTAACCCACGGAGCCACCCAGGTACCCCTGGTTTGGTTTATTTCTTGAACACAGACTATGTGGCTTGTGCTAGACAAGATTCCAGGTATTTAAAGATGAATAAAACACAATTTCTTTCATCTAGGAATATGGTAGGGAAGACAGACATAAAGACATTGTTTTAATGTGTACATGCATTCACATAAAACATAATTTTCCATAAATTCAAATCTGTGTATATATATGTTATCTTCAGTCTTACCTTTTTTTCCTCTTATGCCTGGTTCTCTACTTCTCTTCACCCCCATCTTTTCCCCAGGTATCACATGTTAAGAATCGTGTGTGTGTGTGTGTGTATTATACTATCCAATCATTCTGTGAAGATAGATATTTTTTAGTTATTGCTTATTCCATAAAAAATAAAATCCTACTTTCCATACTTTTTTGTAAATTGCATTTCTCACTCAATGATACCACGTGGAACTTCTTCCAAGGATTCTGGTATAGTTCTACTTCGTTTATTTTTAAATTAACAGACTTAATTTTTTTTTAGAATAGCTTTAGATTTATAGAATATGAGTGGAAAACACAGAGTTCCCATATTCTCCCTCATCATCCCCCACTTCTGTCCCACTTTCCCCTATTATCAACATTTTGCATTAGTATGGCACATTTGTTGCAATTGATGAGCCATTATTGATACATTATTATTAACTAAAATCCACCGTCTACATTAGGGTTCATTCGTTATGTCGTACATTCTATGGGTTTTGGTAAATCTATAAAGTATAATGACATGTATCCACCATTACAGGATTATATGGAATGTTTCACTGTCCTAAAAATCCTCTGTGCTCCAGCTCTTCGTCCCTTCCTTCCCCCAAACTCCTGGCAACAACTGATCTTTTTATTGTATCCATTAGTTTGCCTTTTCCAAAATATCATGTGGTGGAATTATACAGTATGTAGCCTTTTCAGATTGGCTTCTCTCACTTAGCAATAGGCATGTGAGGGTCCCTCCATGTCTTTTTGTGATGTCATAGCTCATTTCTTTTTACTGCTAAATAATATTCCAGTGTCTGGATGGACCACAGTTTGCTCACCCATCCCCTACTGAAAGACATCTTGGTTCTTCTAAGTTTTGGCAATTATGAATGACACTACAAATTTGTAGGGTTTTTAGATATGTGTGAGTTTTCAACTCATTTGGTTAATAACACGGAGTTTGCTGGTAAAGTTATTTGGGTTTGGAGTTTCCTTTGTGCAAATATTTTTATTGATTGATTCAATGTGTTTATTAGATATGAGACTTTACAGATTTTCCATTTTTTCTTGTCTCAGTTTTGATAATTTTCAAGGAATTTGCCCCCTTTTTAACTTTTATATTTATTGGCCCCCCAAAAATGTTTGTAATATGGTCTTGAAATCTTAAATTTTTTTAATGTTTATTCATTTTTGAGAGACACAGAGTGTGGGGCGGGGGGGCAGAGAGAGAGGGAGACACAGAATCTGAAGCAGGCTCCAGTCTCTGAGCTGTCTGCACAGAGCCTGATGCGGGGCTCTAACTCACGAACCATGAGATCATGACCTGAGCTGAAGTCGGACACTCAACCGACTGAGCCACCCAGGTCCCAAACAAGATGGCTTTTTTCATTTCTTTTCTTTTCTTTTTAGATTTTTATTTTATCTTATATTTAGGAGGATCCGTGCCCAACATGGGGCTTGAACTCAGGACCCCAAGACCAAGAGTCTGTGCTCTACTACTGACTGAGCCAGCCAGGTGCCCAGGTCTTAAAATCTTTTAATCCCATTTTAATCCCATTTTTCATTTCTAATACTGGTCATTCACTGGTCTTTTTTTTTTCCCCCCTTACTTTTACTGTGTTAGCAATTTTATTCATCTTTTCAAAGAACCAGTTTTGGGCTTTGTTGATTTTTTTTTTCTCTACTGTTCATTTTCTGTGTGATTACTGATTTTACCTTTATTGTTTCTTTCCTTCTCATTTATTTGGATTTGGTTCGCTTTTCATATTTTAGATATTTGATACCGTTGTTTAAAATATTGATGATATATATTCCAGTGTTAATATATATTACCAGGTGGCTTTAAAAAAAAGTCTGTAACACTTTGTATTTTCATGATCAATGTAGGAGAGTATTTCTCCACATCACCACCAGCGATAAAACTATAGATCTTTGAAATATTTTGTAAATAAGACGGTTGAAAAGTGAAAATCTGCATTTTCTTAAACAGGTGGACTTAACATGCTATGGTAAATGCTAGGAGTAATGTTTACCAGGGGGTAGCATGTGGGGAGCACTGTGATCCCAAGAAGTTTCCTTGGCAGGGGTGAAGCCAGAGCTAGGTTACAGGTGAGGTCCTGAGGAGTTTGTACCAGATGGTCTCTGAGAATCTCTTCCTAATTCTCAAATTCTAAGGATTGAGATAGGGAACCACAAAACGTGACACAGAATTATGCAATTTGTTATATTACTTTACATCTTCTCTTATGTGCCTGTATCAAGTGGCTGAACTATCAAGGATCACAGGAGCCTGAAATGTCTGTTTTCTTTTACAGCAATGGAGACATTCTTACACAGCTTCATATGACATTTATGATTTAAATAAAAGGTCAGTGACTTCCTCATAAAAGCTATTAAGCTTTTTTAGTGTAATAATACTTTTTTGAAAAGAAGAAGTCCCACTGTGATTTATTCATTTGGTAGTGTTTCCTTTTATCTTTTTTTTTCAGGCAGCTGATTACAGAAGAGAAAATTCCAAACAACACACAGTGGATCACATGGTCACCAGAGGGTCATAAATTGGTTAGTGAGTCTCTTCTGTTTTCAGAGAAACATAGTGGCTCAAAGTTCTGACATGCAGAAGCTACTTTCCCTGATACAGAACAGACACTTAGGAAGCAAATACTTCACTATCAAATAGAGTGTTATTGCCTAAAATAGCATTTTTCTGGTCTTACACAGTAAATACAGTTCCTAAAAGTTTCTGAACTGCTACTGGGGAATTGTCTACATACTGGAAAAATGCACTCAAACTCCTCAATTCTATTTTCTGTTGTACTGAGTTTGTGGTTTTGTTCGTTTGTTGAGGTGTACCTGCTTCTTGCTCGTTCTGTGGCCTTCTCTCTGTCACTATAGATATACCTCCATGTTCTATGGTGCTAGGAGAATGGCAGAAGTCCAAAAGAAACTGACCAGGAGGCGGGATGTTCATTTGTAGATGGAACTCTCCATTCTGACATGCAACCACACTCCCTCAACCCCCAGCCCCCAGAAAGCAATGCGAAGCAGGCATCCTTGTGCGAGAGTGGTCAGCCTCCTGGGTCTTTCTCATGTACTTCATTCAGCATGCACATGGTGGTGGTTGTAAGCTGTTTCTAATATGTGAAGAGTGTCTTTAGAATTATTTGGAGGTTATAGCTGTATACTTAGCATCTTTAAAATGTGAGGAGGATAGAAAAGGACTGTTTATCTTGCTCAAATTGAATAACCCAAGGTAGTCATCACATTTGCATACTTTATTGTTTGAGGATAAAATAGTTGATAGATATTTTTTAACTCTAGGATAAGATATATTATAGCAGGTTATTACTTATTAATCTCCTTTTCAATATTTCTAGGCATACGTTTGGAAAAATGATGTTTATGTTAAAAATGAACCAAATTCATCAAGTCATAGGATCACCTGGACCGGGGAAGAAAATGCAATATATAATGGAATAGCAGACTGGGTTTATGAAGGTAGAGACTTTAAAGCTTTTTCAAATTCGAAAGTCTGTAAGGTTTTTTTTTTAATAGTTAAACATTTCTTTTAAAATGGAGAAATTCAATGGTATTCAAAATAAGTTGCATTTCTTTTAAATGTCATCAAATCTCTTTAGCACTGACAATGCCAGGTGTCCCACAGCACAAGGATTTCTTAGCAGTAGCTAGTTTTGCCTGTGTCCTCATTGTCTCTCAATGCCCCTATTGTCTTCTGTCTCCTCCTACAAAGGGCCTTTCTGTATAGGTAGTTTTTCTGCTTTACTGGGGCATAAAAGCTTCCAGATTAACATCAGATGTTTCTCTAACTGGGCCTACCTAACCCAGAGTTACTGAGGAAAGCTAAATACTCCCACAGCATTCCAAGAGCTGACAAAATATTGTCTGGAGGTTGGAGACTAGAGGAGGAAGAAAGCATCTGTTTTACAGAGGATTTGTGTTCATTTGAACTTGGACAAATCATAATTTCCTGTTTTTAAAGAAGGAAAAAAATAATTAGAAAGGCTTAGGGGACAAAATGGGCAAAAAAAAAAAAACAGAACTAAAAATATTAAAAAAGGATTAGTCTTCCTTTTAGGGTAGAGTTTTAGAAAATATTAACAAGACATTTTTCATGTCTATAGTTGCCAAGGTACAAGGCCATTTTGAGACTGTTCCAAACTGTTTGCGAGGTTGCCTTATGCTTATTAAGTGCCCATCCTCAGTTCATCCTGTGAGTTTTTCCTCATAGTTAAAAAAAAATAATAAAATAGTTTTTTTTCATGACGTAATATTGGTTCTTACCCAGTTCAAGTCCAGTTCCACTAAACGGCTAATGTTACAACAACAAAAATCACTTTAAAAGAAAGATAAATCCCCATGGCCCATAAATAAGATTTGATTAAAACTGATAATGAAATTTACTTAGCGATTGAAAAACATCTTTAACACCTGTTGGACAGCTTGGCACAATCTGAAGGACTCCCAGAGTGGACACTAGGTAAAGCCTCTTCCCAAAGCTGCGACTCGACGCTTCCTTATAACATCGGAGTGTATCTCTAAGATAAGAACACACCTAATACTAATGTCCTTTCTAACCTAGAGAATAGCTGGAAATATCTCATTTTGCATGTTAATGACAAGCAAAGGAATGGCTTCCCGGTTCCACTGTGGGCCTATCTCTAGAAAATGGGACTTAAGAGTTCCTCCAGGGAAATTCCTACAATTGGTTTTGTATATTAATGAATGATCCGTACTTGGAAAGGGCACACTTGCTTCTCCGTATATTGGATCCACCCTCCCATTAGAGCCCCGGTCTCCACTGCAGCCATGATGACTTGTGGAGTATAAGATTGAAAGAGTATGTTCTGAGAGTCTATAGGTTCATAAGGAAAAGAACAAACAAGGCTGCAAGGTGTAGACAGGGCCACGTGCTGTATCATGGAGGGACACTCACAGAGTAGCTGATCATCTGGAACATGTGTCCCTTGCCCCACCCCCTGTTCCCAAATGGCTTCCTCTCTCAATTTCCCTGTGTTTTCACTTTGCCTTATTTCATGATTCTCCAATTGATTATTACCATAGTTAATAGGTGTCTTCTTTTGTAAAAATGATAATAATACTTTATCTTCTAGTATGAAGTTAATTGCATGACATTGACTCTGAAGTATGAGTGTAGTTTACCTAACCTCAGGGTGAGAATGAGAATTTTGAGAGCAAGGATGAAAAGTGACAGAGAAAGAAATAAATTTGGAAGATGGAGCACTCCTTACCCCTCAAGTAGTCGTGCTGACAGTGGGGGTGTGGGTAATTGAGTGCAATTCACGCTGAGTGCCAGTCACCTGTGAGGTGCTGCGTCAGGTTCTAGAGACGCAGGGACAGATGCTAACCAACTACTGCTGTCAAGGAACTCTGCCCAGATAGGAAGACAAAGTTGCCAGGGGATAATCATCACAGAGTGAATTGACTGACCTATTCAGGGGAGGGCACTAGGTTCAGAGAATACATAAGGAAGGTTGGAGAGGCTGGACAGGAGGTATCATGGGATAGTTGAGGGAAGTCGTGGGGGGGAGAGGTTGCCATAGACACTTGTGCTCACAGCCAGCTTTGTATCAGGAAGGGCTGGAAATCTGTTCCTTCCTTTGTTATTCTCCCTTCTTCCTACTATTCATTCTCAGCTCTTTGAGTTTGACCAGAAGTAGTTTTATAATAATGGTTTTAATACATCACGATATGGAAAAATATGTTCTGTATTACAAATAACTACCAATTCAAAACACAGAACACTCCCTGCTATCTGTACTTAAAAACATTTTTAAAAACCATAGCCTTGCTGTAATTGTATTCATTTTATGTAATTGCATCTTGATCTTAGACTAGAACCAATGGGTAGAAGCACAAGGAAGGAGACATCAACTCAGTATATGAAGAAGTTCTCAGTAGAAACCCCTTGACCTGGACTCACAAGTCCTGTACCCTTATTCTTGTCCCTGACAATTATTTCAGTCTAACCCCCTCAGTTGCCTTCTCTGTACAATGGGATATGAATAGACTCACCTAAAGATCTTCGTCATGACTGTATCAGATAAGTGTTTCTTAAATTCTAAACTGCTATGCAAAAGTAACTTAATGACATAGGTATAAAACAAAGCGCGGCAGGCTGCCTTACTGAGGAGGTTGTCTCTTCCTTGGAAGAGCTGGAATAGGCATGGATGGACATAGAGCATGAAGGTGAAAAGCATGGATTCAAACCAGACAAGTCTGGATTCATTCTTGATTCTCTAAGTTATTGGCCACATGACCCTGGGCAGATTACCTATTCTCTTGAAGCCTGTCTATCTCTTTGTTCATCTGCACAGGAAGCTACTGTGAGGATTAACTGAAATAATAGATGTCGGTTGCTTATCAGTGTCTGGCACATGGTTAGCACACACTGGATGCTAGTGGCTCATCATGATAATTATTACATTTTGTTATGACTGTTGTTGTTTCTCTCACTGGTACTACTATTAACCGTTATTATTATTGAAAACAAGCATTGGGAAGAAACTTGTAAAGAGGCTTCAGGAATCAGAAAAGTGATTGGGGCATGTGCTAACTCTGAGATTCAAGTCTCTATGCTTTTGCTTTTACCTTTACACCCACAGCAGAACATGAGATTTGTGGGTTAAATCTACATAAAGAGGAGCGCCTGGGAGGCTCAGTCAGTTAAGTGTCTGACTCTTGATTTTGGCTCAGGTCATGATCTCAAAGGTGGTGAGATAGAGCCCCTTGCTGGGATCCCACTTGCGATTCTCACTCCCTCTTACTCTGCCCCTCCCCACTGCGTGCGCACGTGCACATGCTCAGTCTCTCTCAAAATAAATAAATTTTTAAAAAATCTACATAAAAGACTAGGAGTCTCCATCTCTTCTACCTGAGCCCTCTGTAAAAGAGGTTTTGGCATTTTAAGAGCCAGAGATTGGAAGTCCCAAGAATAGACTCCACAATCAACATAGGAAGGAACTACATTTGCCAGAGAATGAGTCCAACAGTGTTCTGGAGAGCAAGACCTTTCCTTTCATTTGCCTCCCTCTTTGACCCTCTTCTCTCACCATCAATGGATACACCAGAGGAGTGTGTTAATCCATGGGAGTCTTTAGTTTCTAGCCTAAGTGAAGGAGGTATTTCTTGATAGGGGTCTCACGGAGCTCCTTGTCATTCTAAATTCATCCTTCCCACACCTTGTTTGTGCCAAGAGTAGTAAAGTGTGGGCACCATATTAGTTTGATAGTCTGGAGCCACACACCACCCACCAGTACCCTGCGGGCTCAGTACAAACTGAGCCCAGTTGGGGAGAGTATGCTGGCATGTTGACTGTTTGAAAATTAGAAAGGAGAATCAGCCCCTTGTGTGAAATTTACTTTTAGTACGTTTTGCGGCATAAATTTAGAGGATTATAAGATAAAGAAAAAAAATGCAGAGCTTATATTAAATATTGTGTGCTAAAATATTCTAAAATGGTCCAACGGGTTACTTATTTTCACAATCCAGATCTATCCTTGAAGATTTTATTTTTATTCATTTGTATTACTCTGAATTTGGAAGCCCAGCAAATGCAAAATGGTTCATTAGTTGAACTCTACTGTAATTACTAAAGCTAATGAGAACAATATTTTGAATGCCAAAGCCAATTTATCAGCTACTTCTTGTAACAGAACAATTTATGTCTTTTTTCAGAGGAAATCTTCAGTGCCTACTCTGCTCTGTGGTGGTCTCCAAAAGGCACTTTTTTAGCATATGCCCAATTTAACGACACACAAGTCCCACTTATTGAATACTCTTTCTACTCTGATGAGTCACTGCAGTACCCAATGACTATGCGGATTCCATATCCAAAGGTCTGTACTCCCATTCGCATGGTGGTTCCGTGATTTGATGGGAAGAGAATGGTTTCATTTAATCCTTTCCTGCTAATGAAAATATTGTCAGTCTCTCTTCAACAGCTTGCTGTGATTACTCTTGCTGAAGTCAACAGCATCTGGCAATTTTAAAGTATTTTTATTATCCCAGGAAAGAGTGTGATTTAAGGTTTTGTAATTTCTCCAAAAACTTTGAGGAATGACAAGCCGAAAAAGATGGGGGAAATGCTTTTGAAAGAGGTAGGGGGAATAAAAACGTTTCAGTGGAGGAAAAGAGAGGCTGTCACTGAATCACATCTTATTTGTAGAAGTTGGAGTGTGCCCTCGATGAAGTTGAAAAGCTCGGTTGTGCATCAGGTTGTATTGCTAATTAACAGACACATGACTAGTTTCGGTGATTCTAGTATAGATTTGGCCCTAATGTAAATTTCACACGTCCTGCATTTGGAATAATAGTGTCACATCTTGGTTTTCAAGGCTGTTCTCTCCCCTCCGGGATGCATGCTTATGATAATTGAACAGCTCTGTTAAGCAGTGTAAGCTGAGGAAGAGGAGGATTTAGAAGGGAACCAGGATTCTTCACCAGTATCATAATATTAATGGCCACAGTATCATCCATAGGAAAATCTAATAGTAAATGTTTTTGCTGTAAGCAACTTGGGAAAAGGGATTTTTATTTTTACCAACTCACTCAATTTGCTTCATGAAGAGCTGCCATTTTAGGAAGACAGAGGAAGTTAAAAGAAAAAAAAAAGATCAGAGACTAAATATAGAGATGTATTTTCAGTGGAATGTTATTTTTTGATGAGTGAAACTGGCAAAAAAAACACATAAAACGCTCTCACTAAAAATATATTATTTCTAACTAATTTGTCAATTGAAGATCTATGTGTATATATTAAAAAGTTTTATAGATTTCTGTCATCATATTGATTGCAAAGCTCAAATGTGATGAACCTGAATTTGGAGTGCAAATGATTGCTTCCTAATTAGCATTATTGGCTCTTGACTCAGGTAAACTCATTTTCTTGGTGGGTTGTGTCTTTGGCTGAACCCAAGGTATTCTTCCTAGCTGTCAGCCATTAGACTTCTTGTCTTTTGGAGTCAGAGTATATTTGCAAAATAATAGAATTGATTTTTCAAAAGCTTATCTTTGCACAAAATACATAAATTATGAACATCCATGATTTAAACAGGAGTGCTTTGGGCTGTCAGCATATGTTTCTGCCTGAATGTGAGTAAGTTGCATTTCATGACTTTCTTTTATGTTCGTTTTATCTGTATTAAATCTTCTATATTAAATTTTTTGAATTTTTTAAATGTTTATTTTTGAGAGAGAGACAGACAGACAGAGCGTGAGTGGGGGAGGGGCAGAGAGAGAGAGGGAGACACAGAATCTGAAGCAGGCTCCAGGCTTTGAGCTGTGTTACAGAGCCCTACCTGGGGCTTAAACTCATGAACCACAAGATCATGACCTGAGCCAAAGTCAGATGCCTAACTGACTGAGCCACCCAGGTGCCCCTATATTAAATTTTTTAATGTGTCTTATTACTATAATTTTATGGCTGTAATGCAGACATTTTTATACCATTTTAAACCTGTGTAATGATGTTATATTTTTTGTCACTACCGGTTCTGTTATTGTTTTTTCCTAGGCAGGAGCTGCAAATCCAACCGTAAAGCTCTTTGTTATAAAAACCGACAATCTCAACCCAAACACCAATGCAACTTCGGTAGAAATCACTCCTCCCGCTGCTATGTTGACAGGGTAAGACTCTTGACCAGAATGTGCGGGTTGTAAACAGTTTCGCACTTCTCAGGGAGGACATTTTAACGACGTGTGTGTTGAGAACCTGCTTTATGTCTTCACACTGGGCACAGTTCTAATGATGGGGTTGCGCAGTGAATAGAGAGAGCAGCCAGGGCCCCAGGTATCATGGAGCCTACCCTCGAGATGAGGGAGGCAGACAACAACCAGGTAAACAGAATCCTGCTGTGACAAATGTGAAGTCAATCAAAGCAGGGCCAGGTGATGGTGATGGTGGGGGGGAAGTTAAGGAAGCTCTCTCTAATGAGATAACCTGTGAGCAGTGACATGAGAAGGAGGGGGCGGCTAGCCACCTGAATACCTGAGGGTGCAGTATCCAGGCAGGGGAAGAGCAGGTGCCGAGACCTCGTAGAGGGGACGTGTGGGGTGCACAGAGGCCCTGGGAGGAGGCCAAATGACCAGAGCTGTATGAGTGGAGAGGAGAGTGATAGGAGTGAGGTCAGATCATGAGGGCTTTGCAGGTCTACATGAGAACTAGAGGAATTCAGGGAAACTGTTACATTGAGGGATCCTCATGATGCTGATGTGCCTCAGGATGTCATTTGTCTAAATAATCCTTGATGGTTTGAAATTCTGCCACTGAGTACCCCCAGCCTCCTGTGCTTTTCCTATAAAGATGACCATGGTATTGCCTGCAGTTTAGGCCTGCAAGTTGCTTTCTATTCGTTTCTGTTAATCATGTTGGTTTTCTTGTTGCTTTTAAATAATAACCTGTATATACTGAATGAACACTCACTATTTGCCATACACAGGGCATTATTGCATGCTTTATTGTATTAATCTCTAACTCTCAGACAACTATTGTCATATGCCTGTTTTACACATAAGAAAATGAGGCTTAGAAGTTAAGAAAATGACCAAGTATGAGTCTATATTCAAACCTGTCTTTCTGACTTAGAAGAAGGAGCTTTTAAGTGCCCTGCTAGGTGCCTCCTTCTGTGTGAATTCAGCTGATGCTCTCAGATTCCTGGAGTCATCATCAGAGCAACATGGAAGCATCCTTCTCAGGGTGGAATTGACCACATCAGGCATGCTGTAGGCTCTGCTCTGTAGTCATTAATTCATTGACTTGATTAGAAATGTCTGTATTAACCTATTCATTTGAGGGGGGGGGAAGGAAATTGATTATCAGTAAATTTAAAAAATTGTTCTTCCTGAGTTTGTCTAAAGGTATAAAAATTTGCCTGGAGGTTCTAACATCTACTAGGTGGCCCCATCCAGTCATCTCTTCTATCAGCATTGCTTGAGCACCCAGTATTTATACTCACAAGTGTCCATAGGGCTGGATTCTGCCTTTCCAGCATTTATGATCAAGCAGAGGATATAACACATTGCAATAAGTGACTTCAAAAGCAGACATGACAGAGGTATAAGCAGAAGGCCAGAGGCATTCCGAGGAGGAGGAGATGAGTTTTCCATGATCCCAGCGATCAAAGAAAGCATCCTAAGGAAGGTGTGGGTTGAAGAGGTAGGGTTCCGAAGGGCACAGTTGAAGGAGGTGGCACTGAAGGGGAAGGTGACCCATGAGCAGGGAAGCACGGGGCTGTCCAGGGAAAGAGCAGCAGGTCCTGTGACCTAATGGTTTACAGCCAGCATCTGTCTGCAGGGAGGGTGAGCCACAGTCTCCTGCTCTGAAAGACACTAGAACCCGGAAGGGGCTTTAGATCTCACTCATGGTTTACAAACATTTTTAAGGACCTGGAAGCCCCCCCCCTTTTTTTTTTCCAAGTGAGCTGCAACACAGAAGTACAGTACCAGAAAACAAATGAAGATTACTGCTCAGGTTGCAGGCATGGGCCCTGTCCCCTCAGCTTCCCCCCGGAGTCAGGATATTAGGCAGAACCTGCAGGGGTTCCAGAACACACTCAGGACAACACTGTAGAACACAGATGAGAGAACCGAGGTTCAGAGAGAGAAACTCATTTGCTCAAGGTCCCATAGCGTGTTAGCATGGGAGCTGGGAAGAGAACAGAGGCCTGCACTTGCCAGACCAGATTCATCGAATAATGGAGTTTAAATGTATTGAGTATTTCTGTGGGCAGGGACTGTGCTTGGTGCTCCGCTCACATCTCACTTGAAACACTCCCTACAGTGTTATTGTCACAGCCATTTCACAGATGAAGAGATGGGATCTTCCCCACTTAGAAACCATGTTCCAGGACCTGAGATCAGGAAACCTATGCAGGTCTAAGGACTTAGTTTTTGCCCTGTAGGAATGAACCATTGCATCTTTATTCTTTGTAGTTGTTTATGCTACATTCCTGGTGGGGACTGCCTCACTCACTGGGGATATTTTGTGTGAGACACATTTTACCAACAAATCATTTCTGGAAATGCCTCAGGAATGTGTTATATAGGGAATGTTACAGCTCTGGTCTCTGTTAACACCAGTGAGGCCACAGCTTATCTAAAACCATGCTGGAGGTCCTCTCTGGGGAAAACATTTCAACAGGTGGTGATGCCCCATTTTCTAGCCTTATGCAAACAACTGGCAGGGCCAGGTCAATCCAGGCAAGTTGGTAAGTTGCCAGGCACCCTCTGCTATGTTTTCTAGCAATCCACTACTTCCTGGAGTTGTAGGATCGCCGGGAGTGTAGCCCTGTGAGGGTCCTCATGTCTCCTCCCTCCTCTGCCTAGGCACCCATCACTGATTTTCCCTCTGGGCCATATCCTTGCACCATGGAGCTTCCAGCAGGAGAAATCCTTCTGGAGGCTAAGGCTGGTTTGTTGTTCTGTTAGGAATGGGCTCCTCTGCTGACAAATGAGAAGCGCATCCTGGCCACCCTTCCAGCAACCTGAGCCTGAACCTGAATCAGGGAGAACCTCCCTGCCAACCCTCATTGATTGAGAGGTCAGGTTGATTAGATTCATTAGGCTGCCCATTTGTATTGATGACTCATAATGGGAGTTTGTGACTCAAAATATTTAAGAGAAAACCACACATACTGAAAAACCATAAACCCCCTAACTGCTTTATTTAGAGCCCTGTTTCACCTTGCTGGATTGAAGTAATAAGAAAGGGAGCAATCTTAACAGTAGTATCTCCAGTGCCTTCCAGGGTGCCTGGGATACAGCAAGTGTCCAATCAGTATTTGCAGCATAAATTGAATAAGCTGATGCGTGGATGAATGAGATATGCTATGTGTCTGACTTTATGTGTGTGCAATAGTTTATACAGCCAGCACCAAAGATGACCTGCACAGTGACCCTGCATAGCAAATCCCTCTTTCCACCTCCTCCCAGCCATCTGCAAATTCTGTGGCCTGAGCTAGAGAATTGGGAAGGACATGTTCTATTGAGGTGACCCCACCCCACATCTGGCCAATTGGCTCCAGGGACCAGTCACACCCAACTCATGATCTGCCTGCCCCTACCCTGTTTTTCTGCTCCTGCGTGATTCAATAGATAAATGTTTTCCTCTGAACGGCTGGTGATCCTTGGTCTATAAAGTAAGGATATTGGGGTCTAGGGTCGCCACCCGGGAGATAAATGAACTGGACTGAAATACCCTGGAAGCTAGCGACACCTCCAGAAACGAGGCCGAACAGCAGCTCACATGCTGTGGGTGCCGCCCCCTGGGATGGGCTCCCTCTCACCCTACCCCTCCTCAGCGATCTGTCAGCAGCCCCAGGAGGGCTGGCATCCATCTCAGAGCAGAGGGTGGCAGGGAGCCCGGGGCCAGCACTGGCAGAACGCCCACTTCCTTGGGTGATTCACCGAATTAATCACTCTACCGTCTGCAGTTGCTCTTAGGAGCAATTGCTCTCCAATATTCTTTCCAGTTAGTAATGCCTACCTGATGTTAAGTATCCTGAATATACCAAAAGAAACATTTACACAAATTAGGGGAATTAATGTAACTCAACAGACATTTATTAAATGCCTACTCTTTGCAAGCCAGCACTTTACAAGTATGACCTTCAAAAGCAAGTCTCTCCCAGTAGATTCAAATACAATTTGCTTTATAAAATTCAGCTGTTTAGTTTACACACACTCTGTAGGAATAAATAGATCTCACAGAGTGAGGAGTTCGATCCTGAAGAAAATGCAAGCGGGTCGAAGCTAGCCAACAATATTCACCAGAGGGATGGGTAGAGGTTCTACAGAGGGAATGACTGGGAACAGAAAATCTGAAGCCAACTGCTTGGTTTGAATCATGGCTCCAACACTTCCCAGTGTGTGACCTTGAGCAAGTTACTTAACTTCTCTACATTTCCCTTTCCTTGTCTGTAAAACATGAACTCTAGCGTTCCTACCTCATAGGGTGCCACGAGCTTTATGTCAAGCCCCTGGAACAGTTCCAGGCACAAGTAGACTCCCCTTGGGTTTGAACTCCTACTGTTATGTCCAGGAATTACTCCACTGCTTTAATATTAAAGTCAGCCATATTCTCCTTGGTCTAATACCGTCCCAGAAGTTAGAAGAGCTTGTTGAATCACTCTGCCTAACCTGGGATAGGCAGCCACTGGCTCAAGGGAAGGCCTTCTTCTGCTCCTACCCACCATTTCATAACCAGTCTCCTCAGTACATGCCTCTCTGTTTTTACAGAATAAAATCAGCAAATAGCACACAAGATAGTTGATAATCCTGCTTGTTGGATTTTTCTGGTCTTAAGCGGGACTTAAACCTTTCAATAAAAAGTGCAGTTGGGTCATTGGTTCCCTTACTTTTTTTTTTTTTTTTTTTTTTTTTTTTTTTTTTTTTTTTTTTTTTGAGTCATTGACATCTCAGACTGGCATGATCTTGGCTCAGGGCTGGGTTATGCAGCGTCATTCTGTCTCCCCTTAATTGCAAATCCTGAAGAGAATCTGTGATTAAGCGGAAGTATGTTTATATGAAAATTCAAAATGTACCGTCCCCTTGCTGGTGAAAGGCCATTCTGGAGGCATCACAGGGTACAGAGTACACCTCGGGCTACAGTGAGTGACAGAGGGAGTGGAGGATACAGGTTCATGAACCTTTGATCTAGAAATGGGCAGGGAAGGTGCCAGATGCATGTGAGTTTCCTGGCAGACTTCCTAAATTCCATTACTCCATTTTTTCAAATGGGGAAAAGTTATTTCTCTACTGCTGATTTCCAAACCTGGAGCATAATTTATGGTTTTTAGTAGATAAAAGGACTTTGTACCAGGTGATCCACTAATCATGTTAGAGAGTATTCTGCCCGCCCCCTTCCGGCCCCTTCCCCCTACTAGGCCACTTTAGAAAAGGGAAGGCTCTTTTTAGAGCCCCTGGTCCTAATCGATGCCCAGGAAGCCCTGAGATAATGTGTGCAAGTATGTGAAGAGGCTTTTTTTTCCGTTAGAGAGAGGTACATGATTTTCATCCAGTTTATAAAGGGATTTGATCTATGAGTAAGAACCACTAGCATAGAGCAGGGATAAGCACACCAGGCCCACTGGCAAATCCAGCCCCATGCCCGTTTTTGTATGATCTGCAAGTAAGAAAGGTTTTTAAAATTTTGAGTGATGGGGAAGGAATTTACAATTTGAGTAATTGGGGAGGAAAATCACGAGAAGAATAATACTTCATGATGTGTGAAAATTATATGAACTTCAAATCTCAGCATTTCACTGGAACACAGCTACAGTCGTTTGTTTGTATATTGTCTGTAGCTGCTCTGGTGCCACAAAGGCAGAGATAAGTAGTTGTGACAGAGCACATGTGGGCTGCAAAGCTTCAAAGATCTACTGTCTGGCTCTATACTAAGAAAACCTTCAGACCCCTGGTCTAGAAAGTTAATTTCAAAAGTTTTCCTTTCTCCCTTGCATTTCATTATTGCAGTCCCCTCTGTCAGTATTTATTCCTTATTCCCGGGAAGATTTATTTGCCTTACCATGTTCTCATTTAATGCCTGAGGACTGGGCACAGGGTGGAAGAGTTGGATCCAGTGAGGCGCCCTTGCTCCTGTGTGTGCAAAGAGGGGCTCACACTCTCACACCCTGCAGCCTGGCAGTCGTTAGTGGTAAGCACTTTAAGACTGGTTATATCAGTGTAGAAAAAGAGGGTTTCTAAGAAAGCATAGTGGATATTTGAAGAAGACCTAAGGAAGTCAGAGCACTGCAGTGGTTTCAGACTGAAGGTTGAACCAAGAGGGCAGCCAGGACCTAGCTCATAGGGTGTTCATGAGACACCGGCCATGCAGACTGATGGTGTACCGGTTCTTAATAAGCAAAAGAAAGGGCTGAAATGGAGAGGAGTCCCTATATGTGGGAAGGTGGTGCTTTGCTGCTGGGTGAAGGGGTGTGATCTTTCAGTACCTGCCACCAGCAGCGGAGACAATGAGGAGGAGGTACCCCTGGGGACATTAACACAGGAGGTGTCCCCAGCAATAAAAGGGGGATAGCGAAGTGGTGATCCATCCTAAGTGCTCAATAAACAGTGGTTGTTTGCTTTAGTGTCCGTGAGGGGAGTGGAGATAGGTAGGACACGGTCTGTGAATTCTGAGGAAGGACAGAGCTATTTAAGCCACAAAGAATAGGATGGGATTTTTCCCTTCAGTGCTGCCTTCCAAGAATTTCGGTGAGTGTCTGTTTTGTGCCAGGTATTCTGCTAGGGCCTGGGGACACCCTGTGAACAAGACAGCTGTGGTCCTGCCTCAGAGAGCTTGCAGTCAAGTAAGGAGAGCAAAAAGATGCGAGGAGGGGGTGGTCACAGCCTGGGAAGGGAAGAGCAAAGGAGCATTTTAGCGCGTTCAGGGTGAGGAAGAGGATATGGCCATGGGCCAGAGGGGAAGAGAGGGGAGGAAAAAATTCTTTGGGAATTTTTCTGAAAAGGGGATAAGGCTTTGATCAGACAGCGGAAAGGAGTGATTTAAGAATCATTGTTCAAAATCACACTGGGGGCTAGGAAGAGTAAATAAAATAAAATATAAATGATCCGGAGCAAATATTTAGGGAGGCTAGCAGAAAATTAAAGTGTGAATTCTATGCATCTCACTACAAATCAAAAGGTAGTTCCAAAACTGCTTAAAGGTATGTGTTGGAGGAAGACACAATGCTGGAGATCTCCCCAGTTGTATAAATTTTATGTTAAGGTTCCTTATTTTTTTTTCCACAAGTTCATGTTTTGAGTCTTGAGAAAAGATTTTTTACAGTATAATTATTTGATTTTCAAAGTTTGTAGAGATGTGGGTCAATTTTTTCCCCTTTGAAAATGAAGTTGAGAAAAAGGTCAGTTGTAATTTCACCCTAAAAGCAAGAATTTTCTAGAGAAGCACGTCAAATTACCAGAAAATATTCGAATCTCAGCCAGTGTCTCTGGCCTCCCTGTAATTTTCTCTCAAGACAGCAGAAAAGAGATGGGAAAATGTCACCCTTGACTTCCTGGCACCACCAAAGGCCAAGCTGAGGACTTGAAAAATCCCGAGCTGTGGTGTGAGTCACGTTTGCCAAGCCACTACTTGATGTTAGCTACTGTTTTTCCTGTCAGATATATTTTAATTTCCATTCAAAACTAAATTACACTTTAAGCTTTCAGAAAAAGTAAAATATTGTGTTATTAAATGCTTTCAACAACGATTTTAAATTATATGCCTATTAAGATTGATTTCAGTGAGTAAAATGTCTGTCTGTACCAAGGTCTGGAAATAGTTATTCTCTCTCCCCTCCCTTCCTTCCTCCCTCCCTCCCTCCTTACTTCCTTCCTCCCTCCCTCCCTCCCTTCCTCCCTTGCTCCCTTCCTTCCTTCCTCCCTTCCTCCCTCCACCCCTCCATTTTTTCCTTCCTTTCTTCCTTCCAGGGATTACTATTTGTGTGATGTAACGTGGGCAAATGAAGAAAGAATTTCTTTGCAATGGCTCCGAAGGATTCAGAACTATTCAGTCATGGATATACGTGACTATAATAACTCCACCGGCAAATGGATTTCCTCAGCGGTAAGGTTTAATGGGGATGTTCTGCTTCTAAAGCTACATGTGAGCCAAGGACAGTATGAAAACAGGCAAAGTGAGTGATTGGGAATCAGGAAATAAACTCTGAGTTTCTATTCTTTCTGACTGTCAGATCCTGAGGCAGTGGGTAAGTTTTGACTAACTTTTAGAGAATCTGATATCTGGTGGTACTTCCGTTTCACCTTTACTCACTAGTCATACTGTTTTAGTTATGGATATTATCACTCGGGGAGGAGATGGTAATTGGAAACCCAGAAGACAGAATTTGATGTCAAAATTCAAAAAGCTCAAGAGGGCCAGTGGCTGCAAGGGCCATGAAGTGTGTTTCCATAGAGAAAATATGGGCAGTGGCAAATGACTGGCTGAGTATGTGTGAAAGAAAACAAGATTCAAAAGGCCACAAATCTGCTACCATACTGTGACTATCATTAAGCAGTAAACAGCTTTAGAACATACATAGATACCTACCCGGCTGAAAGGGTGGTAACATTAAGACAAAGGCAAGTGTTAATTCAAATCTGAGGTGCTTGGGGTGTTGGGGGGTTTCCCACAAGAAACTTCAAGGTTTGGCCAAGCTGGTGAATCAGAATTAAAGCCCCTTTGGGGACCAGCAGCCTCAGGAGGGACAAAGCCCAGGGAAGGTTTGCTGGAATATGTCAAGCACACCTCTACAAGCCATTTCCTGGTAATAGGCTCTGTGCTTACACACCTCCCCTCCCTGTTCCCATCCTGGTTGGACACAGTGAAGATTCTTGCCTCAGAAAGCTTGGGCACCCTGTATCTTGATGTGCTCATTTTGTTCATTTATACAGCAAACATTGAATACCTAATGTGTCCCAAGTTCTGTGCACAGCTCTGGATTCAAAACAAAACAAAACAAAAACAACAACAACAAATTAGACAACATGCTGTCCCCAAAATGTTGATGTCTTAGTAGGGATTACCATTATGATAATGAATAATAGTAGATACCATTTCTTGAAGACTCACAGTGGAGTCAGAGATTCAGTGAGGTTAAGGGGTTTGCTTCGGTCACATGACAGCCAGAATTCAAACTAAAAAAATCTCAAGCTTTTGGTTTCCTGTAAAACATATCATCCTACTATCAAGATATTGTGACCTAAAAGGGTATAAGCAAGGTACAGAGGTAATGGAGGGCACAAGAAGGCGATCCACTCAACTGGGGACAGGGGATGGGAGATGACAAGGAAGAACTAAAGCAGCCTGGGCAGATAAGGGCACAAGGACCCTGTGAGCAGAGGCTGTGCAAAGGCATCCAGTGAATGGCTTGGAGTGTGCAGGGTCTGGGGCTCCCAGAGGACCAGGGGTTGGGTTGAGGCACAATGATGAGAACTGAGGGTGGGGGTAGACTGAGTCTCAGGCACCATTCCCAGGAGTTTGGACTGACTAGTAAGACACAGAGCGCTATTTCCAGGTGTTAAATAGAAGAGGATCATGAGATAGAACCATCTGTTGCCAAGTGAGGTCAGCCAGGGGTTGAGCAGGGTGGAGGGCAGACTAGAAGAAGAAAAGAGCCACAGGGTCTCAGCCAGGAGGTCATGACAACAAACCAGGGGAAATCAGACAAGAACCCGAGCTAAGGCAGTAACCGTGGAGAAGGAAGAGAGGAGTCAAAGAACCAGGAGACAGGGGCTGAGGAGGTGGCTGTGAGTAGTGGAGGCATCTAGAGCGACTCCCACATCTCTGGCTTGGGTGAGTGGTGGCACTAGGCAGAAGAATGAAGGTGTAGGAACAAGCTGGTGGGGATGGAGACAAGATAAATGACATCATCTTCTGTTCTGCACCTGTTGAATTGAAAATGCTGATGGACCTTCCAGGGCCACATATGGAGACAGAGCCCTAGGCAAGAGAGGTAAATGTTCTAATGCAACAGTCCTAACATAAATACAAATATATAAATGGAGACAGTTTTCAACTATTTTAAGTACCATTTCATTTGTATTACCATGAATTGCAGCTAAAGAATTAGAATGCATAGCTTACTTCTCTCTGGAACACTGTCCCTGTATTTTTCTCTCCCTAGGCACAAGAACACATTGAAATGAGTACCACTGGCTGGGTTGGAAGAGTAAGTGGTTAAGAGTCATGTTGTTTTGTTTTGTTTTTTTCATATGGATCAGATACGCAGAGCTATTTAATATGTAGATATACCGGGGTGTCTGGGTGCCTCAGGAGGTTAGGCATCCAACTCCTGGTTTTGGCTCAGGTCATGATCTCATGGTCGTGGGATGGAGCCCCACAATGGATTGCACGCTGGCCATGGAGCCTGATTGAGATTCTCTCTCTTCTTCTTCCTCTGCCCCTCCCCCACTTGCACTCACGTGCTCTTTCTCTTTCTTTCTCAAAAAAAATAAAAAATAAAAAAATAAATATACCAAATGAGGGCCCTATGTTATTTGCTATTAACAGAAATATTACTTGACCTATTTCTCAAAATACTTAAATGCCCCCCGCAGAGATATCTTTTTATACAGAATATAGAACATGCTCAGCTGGAAGAAGTAAAAGGACAAATTAAAACTTAATAGCAGACAAAACAGAAGACATACTCGAGGCAAACTGTAGGTCCTGGAAAGTAAAAAGCAAACCTATGCTGAAAAGCCTCTAAGATGCCAAATATGCTCATTGACCTCATCTTCAAAGTCCTGTGCTTTGGAGGCAGAAAACATGGCTTCCATCCACAGCCTACACCAATGTGTAAGGAGATGGGACTACATCCAGTAGCAACGCAGCGGCAAACACACCACACTGCTGTGTACCTCCCTCTGGAGGAAACAGTACTCGTGTGGCTTCACGCTTTCCTAGGCCCCAGATGCAGAGTTTCATCCAAGAAAGCACGGTGACCCGCAGGGACTTGTCACGCTTCTCGCTCCTGCTGCGCTCCGCCTTGGGCAGAATCACCAGCCGTGTTGCCACCAGACCATGGAACGAAACAAGTTCACAAAGGAAGTGCAGCCATTGCGGCACCTCATAGAAAGACGATGAACAAATCTCGCCTAATTTTTACGACCACTTCTATTAAGTCTCCTTTAAGACAGAAACAAAGGAACAAAATGTGTAAAGATTTCACTCATATCTCTCAGGGCATAGAGGGGAGGCCCCTGGTCCAGGAACAGGACCCCTTCCAGCTGGGCTCGGAGTTCCGATAGCATTCGCACGTCCCTTTTCTTCAGGCATTGATTGGGCAGAGGGGAGAGGTTTGCCAACATGAAAAGTGGTTTCCTCCATGGCAAGAGACACGCTACACTTCCTCACGACTCTTTGAAAAAAATATGTTTTTTCCTCTCTGTATTTAACCAGACAGATGCCACTTTTCACACATTTCTACTAGGCACAACTCCATCCAGGGGAAACAGGGAAATGTATTAAAAAGATAAGGCTGTGAACACAGGTCTAGAGAGGGGAATGTGTTTCAGAGCTCTGTAATGAGAACACCAAGTGTATTGCACGCCTCAGCTTGCTCCATAAATGAATCCACTTTGAATCACTAAATAGAAGAGGGAAGCATTTTTCTTCCTTCCCAAAATGGGAGCTGATGAAAGAGGAAACATCTAGGGTAAAGTGAACCAACAATTTTAAAAGACCATCTCCTACCTGCTCTCAAATGTAGTCGTAAGGCGACATATTCCTTTCAGGCTGGGATAGATACTCTTCTGCTTAAACTACATTATGTTCTGAGAACTATCTTTTATTGAACTGTGAAAAATGGAAATTTTATAGTATATTTCCATACAACTACTTTTTTGGTAAATTGTTGATCCTATTTAGCAAAATGAAAAGACTTACCATAAAAATGGTAACTATAAAAATGTTTCCATGTGAAATATACGACAGACATTCCTTATAGCACCCAGTCCAGAAATGGTTAAAGACTTCCTGGCTTTCAAAAGGAAATATGTATTTTAAAAAGAGGGAATAAATCCCTCAAATTACAAACCACTTCTTATCTGAAACAGTAAAGATAATAGTCTGTTTCAAACCAACAAACAAAACAGAAAGCAATCAACTCATGGTTGTGGGGAGGGACGGGGTGTGGGGAGATGGGTGAAATAGGTGAAGGGGATTAAGAGGTACAAACTTCCAGTTACGATAATAATAATAGTGTGTTTCAAGAAAGCACACCTGTGACATTGAGAAAATTTACCTCATAAAACTGAACAGATTTTTGCCCATTTGTAGCCAGAAGTCCTTGAGTTATCATCCACAGAGAGATGTCCAAAGATAACAATACCACTGCTCTGTGTTGAGTGTCCTGTGTAAGCCTTTTTATGTGCTTTCTCTCATTTACTGTGCACAAAAAATTCCCTGAGAGAGCTCTTTTTGTCTGCATTTTCTAGAAGGAGAATTTTCTTTTGAGACACTGTGGTTTCATTTGGCAAGTAAATGAAGCATGGGTTTTGGGCAGAGATGTTGAGAGGACTTTCAAAAATTAAAGTTGGTGCTGAGATGAGACTAATGTGCTCTAATGTGTTTTTTGTTTCTATTTTATTCTAGTTTAGGCCTGCGGAACCTCATTTTACCTCTGACGGGAGGAACTTCTACAAGATCATCAGCAACGAAGATGGCTACAAACACATTTGCCGTTTCCAAATAGATAAGAAAGTGAGTATTCCTACGTAATTTACTTCAGGTTGATCTCTTTTTTAATGCAACTAACTTGACATGGAAATCATTTGGTAAAGTCGATCAAGGTGTACTAATAATCTGATTAATTCAAATTCCAAAGCAGTATCTAGAGTACGGTGGGATGGGGTGGGGACACCCAAAAAGGCCCAAGATCATCTGAACTGTTGCTATAAATGATTTAACCCTCCACTTAACTTTGGCGAGAGAGTTTCATAAACCTCTTTTTAAAAAATTCCATTAGGATTGCACATTTATTACAAAAGGAGCTTGGGAAGTCATCGGGATAGAAGCTCTTACCACTGATTACCTGTGAGTATTCTAATAATCGATCGGATGGATGTAAATATAGTTGTTGTAATCACACCCTCTCTGCCCAGAAATAGGGGAAAATCTCCTACAAATAAAGAATAGTCTATTTGGAATGTGTTCAGTACTTTTTTCTTTTTAACATACGGAAGCCTTAATGATTTTCACATATGCTTAGCAGATTTGATACCCTGCCACCAAGTGGCTCTACCTCTTGCTCTTACCTGCTTTACATTAGAAGAGCTGTAGCCTCTTTTTCTTAAACGTCTTAGAACACTGAACCAGAATCAGGGGCGTTTCGTGAAATGTTAACTGTCACCGAATTCTGGAAGGCTTGCAAAGGCTATTTTATATCTGTCCATGTTTCGGCCTCGCTTTTTGGAAAATGGAAAGCTTTGCAGAGGCTGTCAGCTACCATGCACGAATTGTGGCATGAATTGAGGAGTGTTATTTTTCATTAGAATCTAAGGCACTTTTATAATTCGTTATCGGGTGTCACCATGGAGGATTTTTGCCCCTGCCCAAAGCAGTCTTTGAAGGTCCTCTTTAGAAGTGGCTCTGTGGCCCTCAGGAAGATGGTAGTTTGTGTTCTAGAACAGAAAATATGGGAAAAAATAGGTACACATGGGCTCTCAACTTCAGGCTACTTGTCCAGTCACATTTTTCTTATGAGAGACTTTTTTTCTTTTTTTTCTTTTTTTTTGTTTTGTTTTGAGTTTTGACTTGTCACTTTAATGAAGGGAGCAATTCCTGCATTCAGATATTTTAGTCTGTTTACAATCTCCTGTTTAGAGATAATGGGGGAAAATGGCCTCTGGGGGAGAGGGAGCAGGGAAGAATGATACAAGAAGGGCCAGAACTAATGCTTGGTGTTGAGTTAAACAAAGTGTGCTTGACTTTCTTTAAAAACATAATTAATATACATCTCATTTGTTTTCTTCCCAGATACTACATTAGTAATGAATATAAAGGAATGCCAGGAGGAAGAAATCTTTATAAGTAAGAGCTCCACCAAGTTGTTGACTTGAGTCTTTTTAGCTGAAGAACAATTTCTGGGTTGTTGTTGTTGTTGTTTTTTTTTCCTTGTCTTAACCAGAATTGTAAGTTCTAGTTTCTGTTCTAGAAGAGCTTTGGTTCCTTTATAAATCAAACCTCCACATGTCACCAAACGAGAATGGCTTTATTAGATGCTTTATGTTATTTCCAAACAGTAGGAGGTTTGAGGTTATTACGAATTAATTCATGTATCTATCTCACACTAAAAAGAAGTTTTTGAGCATTGCTTTGACATTCTGATAGCTTTGAAACCAGAATATGGCATTATTCAATTCCATCCTTTCATTTCTTCTTTCATCAAGCACTTAATTTCCACCATTGGTTCACAGAATCCAACTTAATGACTACACGAAAGTGGCATGCCTGAGTTGTGAGCTGAAACCAGAGAGGTGTCAGTACTATTCTGTATCATTTAGTAAAGAGGCAAAGTACTATCAACTTAGATGTTCAGGTAAGTGTGAATGGACATGGGGAGGGAAGACAGCATCACCATGTCTGTCTGTCTACCCAAAGCGGTTCCCAACATTCCCTTAGGCTGCACGTTTTTCCAGCCTTCCACTCGCCGGCTGACGTTCCCTCTTCTCTTCGGACATCATTCACCACCCTCCTGGCTCAGTCTGCCCATTTGTCCCTTTCTCTGTCCCATCTGGGAGACATTCTTGCTGCCCTGCTCAGTTTTCTTCTCTTGAATCTGAGGTGCTCTTGAAATCACTGAAGTCCCCTTCTCTGCAAGCTCTAAGTGGTGAGTTAACCACCCTTCCTCCCCTTCTGGCCAAGAGACTTGCATGGCTTGCTTTTGAACACACACACAAGTACACACACACAGTGGAGCCTATGTATAATAGAGGTAGTTCATTGTTTTAGACAGACAGACAGATAGAGATAGATATATATTAGATTTTTTGTTGTAGGTTTTTTAAGTGTCGATTTTTTATTATTTTATGCACTTGCCCCTCTAAATGAGAAAATACATGCGGGTAGTGCCTGCCACCCAACCTGCCCACTGTTCCATCTTCTGTTGCTGTTTTATTTTCATTTTCTTTATGATAAATGAAGAAACTTGGCAAGGACGGGCAACAGGACTTCCACAGGTGGCACAGCTAATAAGAGGTGGCACCAGCAGAACAACAGGATCCAAGCCCAGGTCTCCACCTCCCAAGCACTCGGATAAGCACTATGCTAGGTTACTTCTCAAAATGAAAGAATCTGGATACTCTGGAAAGAATCGTCCCCTCACCGAAAAGAGACCTCCAAACCAGCTAACTGAATCTTTCTTTACCAGCACAGTTTCTTTATTGTTACATTTTAGTTTCTGTGACTGTTTTTAGTCACCACTTCTTGGGCATGCATTTCATACTGGGAACTGTGCTAGAAGTTTTATATTTGTGGTCTTGTTTGATTCCTAAGAAAACTCTATAAAGTAGATATTGCCCTCATTTTGTATGTAAAGAGATCGAAGCATAGATATGTTGTCCTAAGTCACACAGCAGGTAAGCCAGGGTTCAAACCCAGGTCTGTATAATGCCATCACTGTGGTTCTGATCACCAGTAAAACATTAATATTATCTAAATGCATGAAAATTAAATAGCTCACCAAATAGCTTTTTTATACATTACCTTCTAGTCTGCAACTACTACAGTTGGGATAAATAGTGAAGATATGTTCATGTGAGAAAAACACTTTTGCATGCCAGAAAGGAATAGCTTATCCAAGTCAGGCACTGTGCAGATGTGCCCCCTGGCTCGGGATTCCGTGTGAGAGTGCAGAGAGAGAGAAATCTGCCCCTTCAGGGGAGGGGGCTGGTTTGAAAACTCCACCTGATGGTAGGCGGGGCCTGAGGGGAGAAATTAGTAGTCGCCATGGGGGACTGTGGACTTACAGGAGGAGTGAGGGGAAGGAAAGATAGCAGCTGTCAGGGGTCTGCTAGTTTAGTTCACAGATGAGGAAATTGAAAGCAACATGCCCAAGGTACCCAGTAGGGCCAGAGGTTCATTTTCTGCTTCATTCTCCTGATCCTCGTGCCTTTCCGGTAATACTTATTACAATCAAATTGCACTTATTTCAAAGAAAAAAACCAGCTACCACTTAGTAAGCCCCTTATACCACTATGATAGTTATTCTATCAAAGCTAAGTGGTATCAAAATGATATCAAAGTTAAATGGTAACAAATGCCGTTTTTGAAAACTATGCTATCTCCTTTTCTTTCTTAAAAAAATCTCACCTAAAACATTTTTCCCTGATTATGTTAACAGGCCCTGGTCTGCCCCTCTATACTCTACACCGAAGTAGCAACGATGAAGGTACTTTCTAAGATTTCACCTTTCGTTTGCTCATTAGAAAAGTGTGTGTGAATAGGACCAACATGTACTTAGCACAGTGGGATTTTTTTTGGCTTTAGAGTGTTTGAACCATGATTTGAACTCAAGGTTTCTAATCTAAAGAATGCATAGTCCCTTGGAGTGCCTGAGTGGCTCAGTAGGTTAAGTGCCTGACTTCCGCTAAGGTCATGATCTCAAGGTCTGTGGGTTTGAGCCCCATGTGGGGCTCTGTGCTGACAGCTCACAGCCTGGAGCCTGCTTTTGATTCTGTCTCCATCTCTCTCTGCCTATCCCCAGTTTGTGCGCTCTCTCTCTCTCTCTCTCTCTCTCTCTCTCAATAATAACTAAATAAACTTTAAAAATTATTTTAAAAAAAGAATGCATAGTCCATCAGTGAATTGCCACTTATTACAGCCTTGCACAATCCATATTCTTCACATTGTAATGAATGACTGCTGTCTCGAATATTTATTTAGAACTGAGGGTCCTGGAAGACAATTCAGCTTTGGATAAAATGCTGCAGGAGGTCCAGATGCCCTCAAAAAAACTGGACTTCATTATTTTGAATGAAACAAGTAAGTTGAATTTCTTTCAGAACAGAACTGCTCACGGAAACCCCAATAAAAATCTCTCCAAACGTGACAACTTGATCTGAAAATACACATTTTATATTATATGTAAATCTAACCTAAGTTTATTTTGTCTATGAAATAGTCTGTCACGAGAACTGCTGGCTTTACTTTTTGTTTTGTTTTCAAATACAGCACCCTTCTATGTGAAATTTAATTCTGTTAAGAGGAAGCCTTTGGAAAAAAAACCAGTATTGCTACCCCATACCCCAGCTTCATTTTGTTAGGAACTCTGCTCTATAAAGTATTAATTGCCCGTTTAATTTAATGATATCCTGACATATTTTGCCTTTAACCCAAAGAAGTAAAAAATATATCTGAGATGACTATAAAAAAATTAGGGTTGGCTGTAAAATGCTGAAACTTCAGACTCGGAAGAGAAATCTTGGATTTTTCTAACCTTCTCCCTGCCACAGTTAGCCTAGTCCCCGTGCCGGGAGCCTGGATGATGTGCAGAAACCACTAAGAATGGGGGGGTGGGGGGTGGGGAGAGGTCTTTGAGCAGGAAATGCAGTCGGGTCGTTTTTATTTGGTTGCTCGTTTTTTCCATTAAGAGCTAATTACTCGTGGGGGATGGGGGAATCCACCAGGACTGATTTATTTCACATTTTAAAAAATATATAGGGTGATAATAGAAAATATTCAAAAAGATTCAATAGAAAAGATTCATCCAAGATTAAATGGCAGGAAAAGCACCAGAAAACAGAGGGTGCTTCTGAAGAACTCCTCAGCATGGGGCTACTCAAAAATGAAATGTGCATAGAATCACCCGGAACCTTGCTAATGTGGCTCTGTGATCCAGCAAGGAGGGGTGAGCCCAGGGTTCAGAGTTTGGAATTAGCCCCTGGGTGATGCCAGTGTTGCTGGCCCCTGAATCAGTCATGGTGGGCAAGAATTTAGAGTTCCGGAGAGCCACCTCGACTGTTGGTGCAGAAGGCACTGCATACTGGAGACTTGACAAAAAGTGGGGGACCCTGAAAGTTTTTGACTCAGAGAAGCCATAGGATTGGATGGACAACCTGCTGGGGAGGTTGGAGCTTCCAGAACCACCTTCCACAGCCACCTCATCTGGGAGGTGGTTGTACATTCAAACTCCAGGAAAGGAGGGCTGGGGGGAAGTGGGGGTTGAGGTCTTGGAGGAGGGGCAGAAGGAGGTGGGACTGGTGACTTCAAAGAACCCCCCCCCAAAAGAAAACACTCCATCTTCAGAATGATGGAGCTAAAACACTTCTAATCAACTAGTACCCATTCAAACAAAGGAGAGATGAAATGGTGGGTTTGGCATCCTTACTGAAAACAATATGGTCAACACATAGCTTGACATTCTATGGAAAAATAATAAAGACTTAAATTTAGAAGGCATAAAATAATCAGCAAAAGACAAATTAAAGAGAAATCTATTTATATAAAGATTTTACTCCTAAACCTTTCTTTTTACATCAACTGAAATAACTGTGAAAGAAAGAAAGAAAGAAAGAAAGAAAGAAAGAAAGAAAGAAAGAAAGAAAGAAAGAAGCAGCTCTAGAGATAATGGATTTTTTTCGCCTTCAAGCTAAATCTACTGAAGCTGGAAATAATCTGATTAAAATATGAAACATCTCTCTCTCTCTGTCTGTCTCTGTCTCTGTGTGTGTGTCTTTAACATTTATTAGTCTAACTCATCATCTTCAATTTGGGAGCAAAGGAAACCAATTCATTACTTAGGGCAAATTTTATTAAACTGATGCTAAATCAAGCACAGAGAATAAAACAGATCTGCAGACCATACAGAACGTTCACAACAGTCTGCGCCGTGTAAACCTGATTTCGTTCTGTGAAACACAGAGCTGAAAATGGGAACTCAGCTTTGCGGTCTGGGATGGCAATAAGAATTACAAAAATGTTATTAAATCAGAATTTTAAAATAAAGTCGGGGCCAACTAAAAATCCTAAACATCTTCAAGGAAATTCAAGAAGAGGAAAACATTTTGGAGGAAAGCTTAGAACATAAGCCATAAACAAACTAGATAAGTAGATCAGATGCCAAAGAACAGAATCATAAAAACAAAACATTAGCAATTCTAAGATGCACTTTTATTTTACAAGGCACCAATGTATTTAATAGATACATTAGAAAAGACTTTATGGCTTTAATCTTAACTAGTATCCTAACCTGAAAGAGAATATGTTTATATCTTAAAAACATGCTGAATCCAAGCAGTTCATTTTCTTTCTCAATTCTAATTTAACAAATTGTTGACTACTAGCTATGATTTATCACTGACAGGGATAAGAGACCTAGATCATGTGCTAATAATTATTCTTAATTTACTAATTAATCTTTCTGTTTGTTTAGAATTTTGGTATCAGATGATTTTGCCTCCTCATTTTGATACATCCAAGAAATATCCTCTCCTAATAGACGTGTAAGTATTCAAGAGGAAGGAACAATTTGGAAGTTAACCACTGTACATGTTTTTACCCAAGGGCAGTTTACAGAAAATTAACGTTTAAAAAATGTTAAAAAAAAAAAAATCCTTCCTCTCTTCCTGAATCATTGTAAGCAGTTTTACTGTTTCCTTCTCCCATTTTGCAATCACAACCCAAATCTTTGTTTTCTACCATCTTTCTAATGGAGAGAGTAGACACCCTTCTGTCATAATTTTGTTTTGATCTGTTTCTCTGCACTACAAGAGAATTTCAAAGAATTTTCAGGTCCCAGTTTTATCCTTACCTCTTGCCCATTTTAACATGTAAGAGATAGGTATTAATAGTATTAACAATTTCTTTACCCCCAAGTTTCCCCAAACATCTTGAATGGTGGCCTTTGATTCACTAGGACATCAGGTTTCTTTTCCATTAGTTTCTAACATATCACTGCCTGGTATTTTCCACTTGCATCTTTGGTGAAGAGACGATGTGATACAGGAAATCATTCATTACAATCCAAACGTCTTCAGGTGTTAGAGAAAGTTCTGAAACACAAATCTTTGAGCAGTAAATGTAAACTCATGCAAATTCTAAATATGGCATCTTTGTAAAATATTTTTTGATAATTACTGGGAATATATTTTACTTTAGTCCTTCTAAAATTGCCCTGAACTCACATATGATGCCACAATGCCACTCTTCCTGTCCTTGCTTGTCTCATTTCCTTTATTAAAAACAAAACAAAAACAAACCAACAAATGTGCTGGGGACCTGCTGCACACCAGGTGATTTGCAAACCTATATGAGTTCTATTGCGCCCATTGTATGGGGAGGGGGAAGGGAGGGACGTGAATATCCAACACAGCCTGTTGCACTGTATTTACAGTTCCATGTAAACAAAAAAAAGCTCAAAGAAAGAGAAAAAAGGTATTTTAAACTTCAAGAGATGCTGTTTGATTTTCAGTAAGCCTTATTACTTTGACTACAGTGACACTAGTTTGCTTTAGGTTTCAAACCCCCTACTGAAAACAGATCCTTTAGAAAACAGTGATATTTTTATCTTCTTTGACTACCTAGTAAGGAATGATTAGACCTCTCTTTTATAAGGAAAGTTTTAAAAAACAGAGTAAATTTACTGCCTGTTTTTTTCAGTTATTTTCCTCTTCCCATCCTAACATGTCTAAATCTTTGCTTTCTATTTCTTAAAATAATGTTGTTTAATCTTAGTGGGTTAGGTAACTTGACACGTAACTAATATTAAGGGAAGCTATTACTCTACCATATCTAATATCATTGAATCTAATATCATTTCACATGTTGTTAAAAAATGTTTGCTCACCCAAGAAATGCATGAGAGCATTTGTCTCTTTAAAGTTAGAATGTTACGATACTTAGTTTAAAATTAAAGTACTATAATGTTTGTTTAAAATCAAACTTCTTTTGACTTCTTTCACTAGGAAGAGAAAAGGCATGTTGTGGAGGGGACAGTGAACAGATCAGTAGGAGAAATGGGCTTGGAGGGAGAGGTATAGGAGAAGGTCTGGGTCCAGGAGTCTCGTAGATCGTGCAAAGATGACATATTTAAATGTGATGCAAGGAGCTATCGGGAGCTTGTCTTGATTAACAAATGGAAATGAGAGGGCTTGATGGAAAGTGTGCATCCAGCTGTTTGGGAGTGGGAGTTAAACACGTTAATAAGTAGAATGCTGAACAACAACATGCCCATTTTTCAATACAGTCTACTTCTTTCTCCTTTGAAGTTTTAAGGAGTAGCATTCATTCATACTTTGGCCCATTCCACAATGACTCGTGCACATTTGTGGCCTTAGTGTGCAACCCCATCTGGGGTTGCGGGGAAAACAGTGCATATTATACACCAAAGTGGTCCTTAAGGAAGTTCCAGCCTAGGAAATACATTTGTAGTCGAGAAGTGTTGGTAAGCCAGGGAGGAAGGATATATTCAAAGCTGCCTTTATTGTCATTCTCATTAATTTTTCCTAACACAACTTCCCTGTCCCAACTGTTAAGTCTTTATTTCTTTGATTTCCAAGAAACATACGACTTAGAAAATGTTGGCCTGTGAAGTCTGTGTTTGATACCAGTCTTCAAAGATAATACTGATGGGCATCTTTGAAGGAAACACACAGCCATTATAGTCATGTTGCCAAGTTTTAGAGGGACCATTGTGGGCACCCTAGTGGCTGGCACAATTTCAGGCTCATGATCTGGAAAGATGCATACTTATTGTCCACAGGGAGTAGAAATATAAGCACTCCTCATTTGATTCAGAAAAACCACAAAGGCTAACAATTTGGGATTTTTCACAGATATGCAGGCCCGTGTAGTCAAAAAGCAGACGCTATCTTCAGACTCAACTGGGCTACTTACCTTGCAAGCACAGAAAACATTATCGTAGCTAGCTTTGATGGCAGAGGAAGTGGTTACCAAGGAGATAAGATCATGCACGCAGTCAACAGAAGACTGGGAACATTTGAAGTTGAAGATCAAATTGAAGCAGCCAGGTGAGTGACTAGGAGATGAATTCTAAGATCATCTGATTTTCCTCCCTCAATTTATATTTCCAAGTTGTAAAGCGTAAAGAATGTGGAGTGTTTTGGGATGCACCTTTCATCTTTGGGGTGTATTTTCATGAAGATAATCACATTTATGTAAAAATGTATGTCATTATAGACGTATATAAAGGTTAAAGAAGACACAGCTCTTAAATTCCTCTGTGTGACTCTAGAAAGATAGTTGGTATATGTGCTACCACCCTCTAGGAACAGAGACTCAAAATTCAATTAATACATGGACAAACTGAGGGATAAACACACTCCTGAGGAAACACCTAACTCAACAAGTAAGCCATCCCTGTAGTCAAGTACAAGTGAAGGAGTTCAGTGTTCCTTTAGAATGTAAGAAGCTACACTACACGTGACAGCTATGAAGTCCTAGGAGTGGCTCTTACAGTCTGGATGAGGGCCACTTCGCCATTTGGGGGAAATTGTGGAGCAAAAGCCATCTTCACTAACAATTATAAGGGTTTCATTAAGTATGAACCACATCTCATTCTCGTGCTTTCCAGTCACAGGACCATAGATAGACATGATCTGGCTTAAGAGAGATTTTAATCATGAATAATGGTCACCATGTAATGCACATGTAACATGGGCAATGTTTTGCCTGCATTGTCATGAGAACCACACAGCAGCCCTGCAAGGTAGGCGTCTGTACCCCATATTTCAGGTATAAAAAAAATTGCAGCACCTTAGGTAATTTGCCAGGGGAAGTCAGGATTCGAATCCAGTCTCCCAACTCACATACAGCTGCATTCAACTGGTAAATGGGAAATGTAGTCTTTTGAGGTTCTATAACCAACTGCATGGATGTCTAGGGAGACATTATAAGTGGTTGATTTAAAACAATGTTGTGGAATCATAAACTAGCAAATGCAGCAAAACTGTGAATGAATAAGTGGGTGGAAGAAAATGCTTTTAAAAACAAGGAACAACCAAAGAGAAGATGACAGAAAATTTAATAAGTATCCGTAAGTCTCTTACACCAAAGTTAATGATTTGCTATTTTCCTTTAAAGTAAAAAAGAGAGAAAGGGAGGTTTAGATTAGAAAGAGGATGAACTGGTTCAGGAGTAATGCTGTGATATTTTAAATCTAAATGTTTACCCAAATTGATCCTCTGTGAGAGAGGGCAGAGTTTCCATGGCTTCTCAAATCCAACATTACAGAATTGGGTGTCCACAATGTACATCTCCAGTTTAAAAAAATTAATGAGGGGCATTTGGGCCACTCGGTCAGTTAAGCGGCCAGCTCTTGATCACAGCTTAGGTCATGATCTCACAGTTCAGTGAACTCCAGCCCTGCCTCGGGCTCTGAGTTGATGGTACCGCCTACTTGAGATTCTTTCTGTCTCTCCTCTTTGCCCCTTCCCCGCTTGTGTGCGCGCTCTCTCTCTCTCTCAAAATAAATGAACTTTAAACAAATAAAAAGTAAAAACTTAATGAGAATGTATTTATACAACAGAATACTATTTCAGTGACTGAAAAGAACAGCATACATAGATGAATCTCACAGGCTTTTGAATGAAAGAAGCCAGGCAAAAAGGTGTATATCCTGCATGACCCATTTTATATAAAGTTCAAAAACAGGTACAGATTGGAATCCTGAACATGAAATGAAATGTTTTCTTTTTGCAAAGGGAGAAATGACCCAGAGGCTTCCAGGGGATAGTAATGCACTATATTTTGGTTTAAGGATATACTAATTTCCGTAAATGCTTATCAACTTGTACACTCATGATTTGGTGGACATTTCCATACATATATGTGGTCTAAGTTTTAAAAGTTTACAGGGAGAATATAATGAGTTGAAAACTACTTACTTTTATTTTTTGCTAATAATGCTTAACTCGGCATCCTAAGGCATATATCTACAATTGAAAACACAAAAATTCTCCCAAGTCACATACAGGTCAATGTAAGGGTCCCCAACCCACATCAATACTACAAAGTTAAAAGAGTCCCACTCGCTAGATTTCTCCTTAAAGGAAACAAATTACCTTTTGATATAAGGCTAAGATTAAGAAGAGGGTGCATAAAACATTTTTCTCATTTCTTTACCTCGATACCAATTCTGAACACAATTTAGTGGCAAAAAGACTTCTTACTTCATCAAGGAAAAATTGCTTCCTATTTAATGGGTGCTGAGCTAACTAATCAACACCCACCATAAGAAGGAATTTATTTAGAGAATGGTGTTTAAGTTCTCAGGTAGGGGGCCCAGAGACATTTCTAAGCCCCACCCAGATGTTCTCCATGCCTCTATATATCTCCATGGTGGGGGCATCCTCTCTTAAACTGAAAAACATCTGGAGAGATTTAAATTCAATTATGTAAAGAAAAGTGCATCTGGGCTGCAAATTTTTATATAAAGCTGTGAAAAAAACTGCCAGGATTTGTTTTCTGTGAATCATACACACACACACACACACACACACACACACACACAGAGACAAAATTTTTGTGGACCCCCAACAAAAGTAAACCTTGTTCGTCTGGCCCTTGAGTTTAAAATGACAGACATCCTTCTCAGGTGTTTATTTGATTGCTGGCAGTGATTAATCTTAGATTCCAATAGGATGAAACAGAGAACAAATGGCAGGGTTTCCTATCTGTGCACTTATCTTAGTTTCTACACACAAAGCCGTGCTAATTCATGGACTTCTTCCATGTATTTTAGACAATTTTCAAAAATGGGATTTGTGGACGACAAACGGATTGCAATTTGGGGCTGGGTGAGTAGTTGTTTGGTTAATGAATCTGTATGCATATAGTTGGTGAATATAATCCAGAGCATGATAATTTACCTTTGGCATGTAAATATTTAGAGATGGAAATCATGTATTTTTAATCTAAGAAGATCCAAATAAAATGTCTTCGATCTCTAGGCAGTGAGTCCCTGTTGGTCAGGCATACAGCTTTGTTTATTCTGATCAAGGAGGGAGGTGAGGGAGGTAAGGAAAGAGAGAAAGAAGTAGAATGGTGAGGAAGGGAGAGTAGGAGACAGGGAAGGAGGGAGATTTTCCTCACGAGTCAAAGTCAGTAAAGACCTAGTGTGTATTGATTTTGTTTTCTTTAATTAGTATCCAGCAAACTTTTGATGCCTTTCCCCCTTAGGCCTATCAAGAAACGGGATGAGGGCTCTGAAAGTGTAGTCTTTAGATATTGTCCAATTAAGGCCAATTTAAGCCCTTCTCTACCATGCTTTCTATCTCTGAAGAGGAACAGTATATAAAGATGTGAGAAATATGGAAACTGTGACTTGCTTACCATATGTCCTGAATTCCTTTACCTCCATAAAAATAACCGTTTCCATTCCTTAGTCATATGGAGGGTACGTAACCTCAATGGTCCTGGGAGCAGGCAGTGGTGTGTTCAAGTGTGGAATAGCCGTGGCGCCTGTCTCACGGTGGGAGTATTATGGTATGTAATTACTATCAGGTACCAAAAGATACGGAATGTTGACCTTAAAATTTTGATGACAAAACCATTCTTTTTTGAGTTTCAATGTTTCTACAGGAAATAAGCTGATTCATCGTAGATGTACTTTATGGATATCTAAAATCAAATGGTCTCCCTTATTCTGCTATTAATATCAAAAGCCTGGGTGATATTATTTGATATCTTCACATTTACTTATCAATAAATACTGTTTTCCAAATTTCAAAACATCCCTAATGCTACATTTCTGCAGGTAAACCCTTCCTTATCTTTATTCTGCTTTGAATTTGGGGGCTTCACATAATAGCAGAATAAAAGAAGCATGTATTTCTTTTTCTTCCAGTAAAGGTCAGATATAAGTAGGGCTCTTTAGGTGGGAAAAGGAGAACAGGGACAGGGAAATTCCTAGGGGGTTTGTCTTTTCCCCACTGTCTCTAAGTTAATGAAAGCCACTCTAGGATCTCCTTTTCATCATTCAGAAAATAATTATATAAGGCATCATAATTCCCAAGGGGGAGGGAGTGAGCACTGGAACACTAGGTAGGTGGTGAGAAGATGAATTATTTTCCTCACCTCTTCAGACCCCATCTCAAATCCTTTATGTGATAGACTCATTGGTAACAAATATGCTTATTAAATATTTTTGGCCCCAATATATGGTAGTACCAATCTTGTGGAAAGCCCTTTTTTAAAGCCCAAGTCAAGAGATTTATCTTATTAAAGATAAATAAATAATAAATACATAAATAAATAAAATATTGCTATCTTTATGTTAAAAAAATGGAAAGCATAGTTACAACTTAGTCCATATACAAATGGTTTTGTTTTCGTAGAAACCTTTCCTATTTGATGCTAATTGTTCTGTTGCTTAGCCTGTTTTTGGAGACCTCTGGTGGCCAATAAAATAATAGAAGCAATCTTTATGAGTTTAGAAGTCTAATAAGAAGAGAGCTTCATTAAACGTATATGGACCAACCCAACTTTCTAGACATAGGAACATTCTAGAATTCTTACATATGCATTAATTTGAACAATTTTATTCAAAGATCAGATAGAAGGAATACATAAATGGTATTTCAAAGATGTATTTGTAGAAGTTTACAACTGTATTATGCATTTAAAATATACTCATTAAAATTTCAGAACTTTTCACACATGTAAACCTGATTAACATAATAAAAAAGGGTTATTATGTTCTAGGACAAGAAGAACTGAAGTCTTCTGCTGTTTGAGGAAAAATTTATTTTGTTCTTAAAGACTTTTCCCCTCCATCACATGTACAACCTAAATTATTCATATTTAAATGTTAAAATATATGAGCATTTTATGAAGATCTTATATTTTAAAACATCTTTAAAATATTATATTTTCTATATTAGTGTCCTCTAGATATGTAAAATTACGTATAGCCTGTATTCCTTTTAATCAAAATGATAAAATATTGCCATTATTTCTTTTGGAGGACAATATTTTGATCTCCATAGGAAAAACATAAAGAACACATGTGGAGTAACTAACACTCATTATCAATATAGTTTTTAAATCTACAGTGCCAGTCATTTAAAAAAGGTTAGAATGTTACCTGAGGTAGTTGTTGTCGTGTGTGTGTGTGTGTGTGTGTGTGTGTGTGTGTGTGTGTGTGTGTGTTGAGTGTTGTGTATATATATATGCACCCTGTTTTCAACCATATTTATAGATAAAAGAGCTTACATCATTTCAGCAGATATTAATGTAATCTATTTCACAGTACACAACTGTTACAATACCAAAATTGAGGGCTCACCACAAAATGAGAGAAAACAAATGTTTGACGTGCATTGTGTTGGAGTAACTGACATAATACAGGGAAATCTAGCAAATAAATGATACCTGAATTCTTTGTTTTCATTATAGTGAATTTTAACCTGCCAAAAAAAAATATGATTTAAGTAAGCAACTAGTAAGTGAACATTATAAGGGGTTTCCAAAAGGAAATTAAGGTATATGCTTGTGTCAAGATCAAAAACTCCAGACAGTTGAGGCATTAAGTGACTTTCTAACTTAGATTCTTTGAGAGGATCAGATGATAATGTAAAGAGCCCTTACCTTGTAGCACTTCACATCTGATTTTTCTGCAGATGGATTATTGGTTGGGTTTTAGATCATCTAGTTTGATCTCCCTCTGCCCTCATTGGTTCTGGCTAAGTGTGGAAAAACGTGAGTCTGAGCAGGTGTGTCTGGTTGTATTAACACACCCAATAAAAATGATCTCAAGGAGACACTCCTGAGGGGGATACTGTAGACCTGTGCACAAGTTAAGACATGTGAAAGCACATAAAGTAACTCAATAAAAGGAAGAAACGTTTTATTGTGTGAATTAAGCATTTTGAATTCTTTTTCATCACAGATTCAGTGTATACAGAACGTTACATGGGTTTGCCGACTCCACAAGACAACCTTGACTATTACAAGGTAAGAGATGAGAAACCAGATCCATTTTATAACCTATTTATAAGTTGTTTAAGAACATTTTTAAGTGTATCTATTCTAGAAAATATATATTTTTTATTTCCAACAAAATTCTTGTTAAAAAGAAATAACACAGGTGGTTTAGAGATACTCCAATAGCTTCCCCTACTATATTCTGCATAATTACAGTCTTTATCGTATGCTATATAGGTCACAATATGCATTCATTTGGAAATACAAAGCAACACCAGATAATTACTTTAATTATAAAAATTTCATTTAGAAAACATGTCAAATTCAACATATTCCTTTAGAGCCCAGAAGACTCTCTAAACCTTTAGCTATATATTAAAATGTCTATGGTATTATCATAATTAAGATGTATGTACAAGCCTATGATTTTCTTCTTCATACCAACTATGTACCGTTTGTTCGAACCAGGTTTGGGTAAAACAGGTGATGAGTAGGTACAGTTGGGCAACGCCCTGCAAAGCCCTTGAACCCACATTACTGAATAGCATCCAACATGGCTGGCTGATGGGAGACAAGTGGGCAGGTTGCTCTTCAGACAAGCTGTAGCATTTAGAATGTGGCCCAGACGCAATGCTCATTGGCAGCGGCCTGTGCTAGTGTGGATGCCATGGCGGAGCCAGAGCACTGTCTCTGGTGCCACACTGGTGTCGCCGGGAGTGCTAGCCTAAGTCTAGGGACCTGTGTGGCACTTGGGCCCTTCCAAAACTTTCCTGAGTCTATCTGTCACGTTTGTTGAAAACGCCAAAACTTGCAGATGACAAAGTAAATCATCTCGTGTTTACATTCTCTGAGGGAAATTCAAAACTCTTCTCAGGACAGTGAATTAAAAAGCAAGAAAAACAAAAAGAGGAGTAAGTTACCAAGATTTCTCATCTGTGCCACAAGTCTCTGTACACGGGCTTCTGAGCAGTATTTGTACGTTTCTGTAAGGTGCCGCCATTGCTATAGATTCTGAATCCGTGTGGTCAAAACACAATAAAACTAAAATGTTGAGTTTTGCAACTTAAGTATACACAGTTTAGTTTTCTCCCTTTGTGCTTTATTTGTGAAGGCTCAAGGCAGAGGCCGTGCAGGGAGGAGCGTGTGGCTGTGTCTGGGCCTGCGTGTGTGTTTTCATCTGTTTTTCGGTCGAGATAGGAAAGTGACGACCTGTAATGTGACATGCACAAATCATCTTCCACTGCAAAGTGGTCCCATAGTCAGGTTGTCCCCATTTCCACTGGTTGTCCCCCCTAATGCTTTGGACTCAATTCTTCCCATTCTGTCTCCTCCACATCCGATAAGCTGCTGTAGACATCCTTTCCTTTCTTCGGCACCACTTTGCTGCTGTCACGTGACTACCTGCTTTTGTAATAATAACCCAATTGGTGTCCCCTTCGCTTGTCTTTCTACACTCCAGTCTATACCACAAAGAGGTGTGAGATTAATCCTCACATTCTCACATACAACACTTTCATGGATCTTTTGTGTGACTCAACTGAATCCAACCCTCAGTCTTTAACCACGTGGTCAGCCTCCTTCTCACAGTGGTCTAGTTCGCTTGCAATGGTCACTGCTCTCTGAATATTTCTGGACTTTTCCCTGTTCTGTTCTTATGCCTGGAATGTCGTTGCCCCTATATATCCATTTACTAGGAAATCTGTACTCCTCTTCCAGTGGACTGACATCCCCTTTGGCTCTTAGGACGTTTTCTCGTATATCTCTGACTCTTCAGGTTATCTTGAATTCATGGTTATTTTGTAGTCCCTTTTCCCCTCAGCACTATTATTAACTGTTCAAGTCTTTACTGGACATTGTGTTCGTTAGATTACCCAATGTGAACCTGAAAACCTTGCCTGATTTAATGTAAGAACTTTTTGAAGGAAAACAATTCTTACAAAAATTGCATGTCTCCATCACTTCTCTCATTTTCCATCTGGAGTTTTCTTGTCCGTAACTTGACCAGGACGCTTACGGTATGGCGTATTTGCTGGGTTGCTGAAGGGTTTTCCAAAATATCCCAAAGTACTAAAAACTCCTGGAACCGAGGTGTACTGTCCAGGACCCTAACCCTGGCTCTAGAATCTGCTGGATGTTAAGTCAAAAGTTCATTTTAAAAATCCCGTTCTGAACAGTCTTTGAACCTAGAAGCACAGGGTCAAGTCCAAACCCTGACGTCTAGGGAAGTCCACACCACCTACCCTAACTTCCCTCGACGAACATCAGCCACCAGGGCGTTTCCTCTTGGGCCAGCCCTCCCCCGATAGGATGATGGATTTGAATCTACCATTTCATCCTGCATCGTTCTCCGGATTTTCCTGTACGCTCCTCGTTCCCACATCGATCCCGCTCTTCCTCACCTCTGCTTGCCCCGAGGTGACCACGTTCATCTCTCCCCTTAGGTGTTCGCTGCATGAGGTCGTCATGTAAATAGAAGTCCCTTCCCACTGCCAATGGCAACACGCGCACACTGGGTGCACAGAGTCACTCTTACACTTCACTGTACAGATGGCACCCGAGGACTGTTTAATCCTTCCACGCCAGGAGTCGAGTTTTCTTGGCACAAAATTCAGTGCTGGCAATGGACACATTAAAACTGCCAGTACCAGGGCGCTAAAGGTTCCCAATGTGTTACTCAGAGGAATGATTTGGGCGGGTGAGAGTTAAGGTGTGTAGGGAAAGTGAGGCAAACGCGTTCACTGAATTGTTTCCACCCTGGTAAGTTGCTTCCTCAGAGTGTGGAGAGCTGAATCTAAGTGCCTATATTTGGTGCACAGCAGGCTTTAGAATAAAGCTGCCCTCCTTTGTTTTTTAAATAAGCCTGTGCTTTTGTCTCTGGCAAGAATACATTCAAAGATTCTATTTTCCTCCGAGGCCCCAGCTGCCCCTCTGGACCCCATCTTTTACTTTTCTTTCCCAGGTTGTTTTTATTTCTCTCTCTCTGCTTCTCTCCCTCCCTCCCTCCTCCCATCCTTTTGGAAAAGACAAAGAAGACAATTCCTTAGAGGCTTTCAGTACCCTGTGCATGTCTGTGGGTCAGAAGGAGATATTTTGAAAATGGTTCCCATTTAGTCTGACCCACGGACTCTCTTCAATACTTCCAGGACAGGAAGGACCAAAGTGTGTAATAAGCAAGTCCCTGATCTTTGTTTACATTTGCAGCTAATGAATCATCAATCAGTAGCCAGGATTATTATAGCCTTTATAAGAGAAGACGATTTTTAATTTAAAAAGAATGAGAAAAAGAATTCATTATTAGGTCATTGATAACCCGGATTTGGAAGAATTTAGAGAAATCCACATCACCAAGAGAAGCACATTGTATGAAGTAAAGGTCCTACTTATGATTTAGGAAAGGGAATTTGAGAAACCATTTGTGTACACAAATGGAACAGGTAGGGATGCCATGTATAGTTGTTCAGCTTGTGCACTGCTAAAAGCAGTCTACGCTCCGTTCACTAAGACAGGCACCTCTGGGGCTGCGTAGAACCAGAAGGAATTCCTTTTCCTATTCTTACAAAGCTGCCATATAGATTAGCAGACCCTAGGACTAAGGCTCAGACCCAAAGCAGTGATACGAACAGTGACTCCCTAAGACCCTTTGTAGATAATCACCCACCTACTGCCAAGTGGCAAGGCAGGAGCACTTTTAAAGGCAGTGAAGCCTGTGGAGACATCTTTTCACTGAAACAGTGAGTTTCAGTCCACAGCCGACCAAAATGGCGACAGATTTGAGCAAAGGACTCAGATAGGCAATGAGAAAACCCTCAGCCCCACTGGCAAAAAAGCAAATCGCAGCTGCAGCCATACCTTGAGGAGTATGTTTCTCACTAACACTGATGAGTGGTCTTTCATATGGTCAGTCATAGGTCTTTTAATCACACCTATTAAAAAAATAACATGTGGTAGACTTTCACTCACCCATTCAAGGTGCCTGGTATTTTAATTGTTCAGAAGTTTATTAACTTGTTGGTGAGATAAAGCATGCACACAAAATTTTCAAAGAGAATTAAAAGAGAGTAGGTAATAAACTATGAACTCAAATATGACAGAGTACCCCCTATGTGTGGAAAAGACCAGCGGCTTCCAAATTGTGATGAGCCCCAGGAATTTTGTAGCTTCCGAGCATGTAGGGCAGGGAAAGGAAGTGGCCAAGAAGTTAGGATTTCACCTTTCCCTCCCAAGCCCTCTCAAATGGTGTGCGTTTGTAGGGGCGTCCAGTTTCATTTATTTCATTCATTGTTTTCACTCATTCATTCAGTGCTTGCTTCTATGGCCGGACACTCTTCTGAGGTCTTTACGTGGATTATTCTGTTCAGTTCTCCCTCACGTTCTCTGAGATAAGTGCTCTAATTATCTTCCTTTTACTGACACTGAACCTGAGGCACAAAAACGTTACATACATATAGAGACTGAGGGGTGGGAAAGGGTGGGGCGCTTATGTGAAGCCAATAAAGAAAGATTTCGGAAATAAAGAGGGAGGCCGCAGACACTCTCCGTAGGTTGCAGAGAGGGACGAGGCAGACAGGGCAGCACACACATGAGTAGCAGGTACAGCTGGTTTCCTGGGGATTTGTGAAGCAGGTTGGAGGAACTGACAGATACCATGGAGGCAGGGCTGTGGGAAGAGCAGGCCAAATGGTGGCCTGTAAGGCAGGACATAGACTGGGGCGGGAATGGATTTATGAGTACGCACAGAGAGAGAGGCAGAAGATCAAGGGCAAGAGAAATGGGGCCCAAGTCCTGAGCCTTGTTGCCAAGAGAAGAGGGCAGCCTGGAACACACAGAAGGGACTGATTTAACTTGTAGAGGAGATTTATTTTGCATTTTGCTCAAAATTTGATAGGCTTTTGGCAAGTGTATGAAACAGTCATAGATTTGGCAGTCTTCTGCTAGCAGATTTGAAATGTTCAATCCTTAAGAACTGCTGCATCGTTAGGTTATGCAAAACAGGGTGCAATTTTGTAAATATGCCATCTTGTACTGATTTGACATTTGTTCTATTATCCCAGAATATGCCAAAGGGAGAGAGACCTTCAGATTTAAGCCAAACCTTAACTTGTTTGTTGAGTGCTGATAAAATGTTGACTGCTGTGTGATCTTTAAAGAAGCCAGTGTTGCTTGGTGAGGCCTGAGGTAGGGCCCCCTGTCGGGTTGATGGGTTCTCTTTCCTTGGCATCTCATGGATACAGTTGTTTGATAGACGTAAACAACTAAAACATCCGACAGAGCGGGTTGAATTCATTTTTTTTTCTTAACACATTTCTGTGGCCTCTGTTTTCTGTGGCGTTAATGGTGCTTCCCAAATTAGCATTAGTTCATGCTCTTTACGAGGTTTTGGTTGCAAGCTGGGGAATGCATCGAGGAAGTCGGTATGCCCGTAATAGCTCACCGAGGTGCTGGCTGGCCGTTAGACCAGTGGCTGTTTGCTTTTTCTACAGAAATCTGGAAATGGTGATGAGTTGCTGGCTGGGATGTGAAGGGACATTGGGACATAATGCTAAGGGGAGAGACTTTGGAGTTAGACCTGTACTCAGATTTGACTTCCACTGTTACTAGCAGTATGAGCTTGGAGAGATTACTTGACTTCTCTGAGCCTTAGTTTCCTCATCTGGATAATGGGGATAGTCAAGCCTACCCCACAGGGTTATTGACAGGATTGAATGATACACCTGCACCTGCCGCGAAGTCAGCTTTCAAAATGTGGCAACTGCCACCGCCATCCTCAGGAAGCAGACTGTCCTTCTGGTTCCTCGATGGCACAAAGGGTAGCTTCAAATTGTCAGAACTTCTGTTTCTTACACTCCTTCCCCGTTCTCATCAGCTCTCTCTTTATTTCAAAAATACAAAGATGTATTTGTTGGAAGGTGACTGAGGAACCAGCATGATCCAACAAGCAGCTACAGATGGTTCTTCTTAGGGCTGAAGGAAAAGCTCCTCACAGAGATGCTGTGGAATCGGCACAGCCACTGGACCAATCCTTCCCACTTCGTTTTGCCAGACTGTTGCTGACAGCGGGGCTCTCCGGAAGTTTCTAGCCTCGGGAGAGTGCCAACCGCACCACCATTGCATCCTCGCCCGTTTATCACTCTGAGCTTCCTTTTTAGTAGCTGGTGATAGACTATTCGGCTTCTAACTTAGTCATCCATTTCCTTTGCTATTTCTGTTGCCATCGATAGGCAAATGGGGATTATCCTATCCCAGTGGGTTAAAATAGCACAATGATATTATTTCTGATCATTAACCACATGTTCAGTGAACATGTCCTCTCTTTCTCTGGCTTGGGGCGAGGCCTTCCACAGGTTCAAGTGTCCCACACAGGGGACAGCCCAGGGTCTGTCTTGATTGAGAAGCCAGGATTCTTGGGTCTAGTAGCGGATGATCCGTGGTGCCAGAGGCGAGGGTGATGCGGCCACGTCTTTGGGCAGGGGGTGGGGGGGGAGGGGGAGAAAGGCTCTCTGCAGCCTGAGGGCCTGAAAGCGGGTGTGGGCCTCCAGGCTGCCCGCTCCTGCCCAGCCGTCCACCTGGAGCAGGGAGGCCCCTCTTGAGGCTTGTCCCTGGGAGCAGGGGGACCGTGCATGGAAAAGGCACACCTACCTCCCAGTTGCAGGGGAAGCTTTTGTTTTATTTTTCTCTTGCCGCATTAAAGTATTTGTCTTTCTTTCTTTGTAGTGTAATATTGTTAATGTAAAACAATTTGCATCATGACACTTTTATCACAGTTTTCGTCTTTTTCTCAGTATGTTGCATTTCTCACCATGTCTAGTTCATCACAGCTACAGTGTGTACATCACAACATTTATCTTAGGCTCAGGGTTTTACTTGTTTATAAAAATTGTCTTCTTTCAGCCTGTATTCACTCCATTTAAGAAAAAAAAAAAAAAAAGGCAGCCAGAAACTGTTTTGGTCCAAACTCCAGTAGTTATCACATTCCTTGCTAACTGTCCTGCGTATTTATATGTCTCCTAACTATTACTCCGTGTTTCAATGACATTTCTCAGTTTTATGGCTCGTGGAGGTTGTGGGAGCAGCTTTTGCTGTTCACGCTGCCAAGCCAGGAAGGCCCCGTGGGGGCTTTGGGAGGTGAGGTGAAGTGCCGGGGCTGTCCCTGTGGGTCAGGTCTCGCGGCGAAGTTGAGCGCGGTGGGTGAGCAGAGCGCTGGATTTCATGGGGGGCTGCCCGAGGTGGAGGAAGCCGCCAGGCATGAGCAGGGCTGGCAGCAAGGATTGCTCAGGGGGACGCCGACGGGAGCGCCAGGGCCTGGGGCTCCCGTTACTGACGGCTGTTCCCTGTTCGCGGGCAGTGTTCAAGTCCCAGTCTCCAGCTCCTCAAGCTTTGAATCCTACTCTGTGCTTCGGGGAGAGTGATTTCAACTCTTCCCTCTCTGGCGAGAAGAAACCTCTCAGGGCTCCGCATCAGCGGCCTCGTGGGAAAACACGCCTGCCGAGTCTCCCAGGGCTGTGCAGACCAGCTCCCTCTCGCTTAGTTCAGCCTGAGAAGGCGTGGGAACCCAGCGCGAAGGATACCCGGTGTCCTTGCGCGTCACAGATTCCACGACCGTCACTTAACAGCCTGTTTCTCCCTGCTCCTCTGCTGGAAGACCACATCATGAGCTGCTGGGAATTTTAGTGGCCTCAGCCCGGCAAGGCAAGCGAAAGCCTCCGCCGTCAGACCCCGTGTCCAGCGGACACTTCCTACAGGTGTAACCTAGTGCAAGTTGCTCACTTCTGAATTTGGGAGCCTCCATGGAGAAAGGAGGGTTTCTACAGACCTCTTTCACAGGAATGTTGGCAGGATTGAGCAGAGCAGTGTTTTTACAAATATTCCCATTTCACAGAAAACAGGATTCAGGGAGCAGCATGCCTCCAGGTGCACAGCTCACCGATGTTGAAACGGGATAGAACACAAAGCCTCTCACATTAGCCCCATCCCCTTCCTGCCAGACCATCGGGGTTCCCATCAAAAAATACGAAGCTGGTGTTAGCTACAAAGATGTCTGTGGAATACAAACCTTGGCACTCGTAACGTTGACTTTGACCTCCCGAGATGCTGAAGACATAGCTGGATGATTTTTGAAGCTACGGGAAGACGACTGGCCCTTCCTCTGTCCGACCCATAAGGAGACAATAGAAGCCAACTCCAGCTCACCCCCCTCCCAAAGGCACTAGGATGTCTGTGTGACACTTGTACCTTCATCCCAGCTTTGTAAACGTCCCCAAACCAAGACGAGATGACCATGAAGGCCCCGCCCCCACCCTAGAAGTCCTGCCTGCCTGAGGCCAGTCTTCAAAAAGCTAACCTCTCAATGTTTTGCCCTATTTCTCTGGCTGATTTGGGAATGGCTTGATCCAATAGCAGGATTTTCCCTAATACAGAATGAGGCAGATAACAACAACCCACTGATTTTCTGAGGCCACTCTTGATCTTTTTCACCCCTTTCCCCTCCCATATGTTACATTTGCCTAGGCTTGAAACATCTGTTCCAAAAGAGGTAATACTTGCTCCTCATTCATTGCCTAGCAATGTGGACCAAAGTTCACGTGACATATTGCAGAGTATGTTCAGTTGCAAATGCTATGTACAGGCTCTTTGAAATGTAGCATGTATGGCACCATGTGACACATGGTTGCCATGGCAATACACTTTTTGGCTGAACTACAGCATAAGCCCATGGAACATACATTGCTAATATGAGACTCTGCCCTGTGCTAATGCATAGGACACAGCCAATCTGGGATCTGGGACTCAAGGGGTTTTGCCTGCAGCCCTGGTGGCAGGTGCCCTCTGCCTGCGTGTGCAGGGAAGATGTGACATCCTCCCTTTCCAGTCCTGTCTCCCAGGCACAGGGCATGCTGTGCATTCTGCCATGCATGGAGACAGCATTTGCTTAAATATCGGTTTGCTATATTTTGTATCAAAGGGGGCCCCAGCTGAAAACATTTTATTTTGTAAACTGAAGTGAAAAATCAGTTTATGGCAGATCTTTTTTTGAATAATGACATTCTTTTTCCCAATTCCAGAATTCAACAGTCATGAGCAGAGCTGAAAATTTTAAACAAGTTGAGTACCTCCTTATTCATGGAACAGCAGATGGTGAGTTTCAGTTAATTAGACTTTTTAGTATCACAGACAGGTTTGCAATTTCACTACTGACAAAACAAAAGCATGAGGGGCAAGACTGTTACATTTACTTCAATAAAACAGTGTTGCTTTCCACAACTCACTTGTCTTGGGCTAAATGGGATGCTAAGTCCTAGAACTTCAAATAGTCCCTTTCTTCTTGTGCCTTTCCCACCCTTCCTATCAGAAAAGGAGCTGCTATTAGTTACTTTATGATTCCTTTCTCTCTCTGCAGATAACGTTCACTTTCAGCAGTCGGCTCAGATCTCCAAAGCCCTGGTGGATGCCGGAGTGGATTTCCAAGCAATGGTACGGCAAAACTTGGTGGAAACGGAGGGAACTTGCTGGTGGGGTCTAGTTGCCCCTCTCTGGGCTCCTTCTCCTCAGGCAGCCCCAGGACACAGGGACAGAATTAAAAGGGTTTTTATTTTTCCAATAAGAAGCTGGAAGTGATATCCTTAAAGCCATAGGCAGAGTAGTGTTCGATACTATTAGAGACTTGGGGGTTGAGAAGCACAATATTGCGTATCTGGGGAGTGTCAAAACACTGCTCTCCTATCCATGTGGTTGTTCAGTCTCTCCCTGTTTTGATTCAAAAGTAATCACTTAGTAAATGTGTGGCAGACTAATTCTAAAGTGGAACCAGCATGATAATAGCTCAGCTCCAGTATGGAAATCCGCTTCTGTCTAGGATGTATTACTAGCCATTCTAACACCAGTGGGACATTAATAATCAGCACGGCTGCGTTACCTTTTGTTGAACAGCCACAGGTAATGAACAGTTAGGCTTGTTTTGTGGAGTTGGAAATGGCTAGGGCTGTTGTTGCCTATATAGAAGGATGCTTCTAGATATTAAGTGAAATTCATTTTCTGCAATAGACCTTTTCAGGTCAAGAAGGAAAAAGAGACTGTGTGTGTATATAACCAACGTATAAATATGTATGTATGTGTGTATATTTATATGTACGTGTATGTGTGTGTTACACTAAATATTTTTGTGTAAATCACTTTCTTGCCTGTATCCACTAGAAAACCTGCTTTCCCTCACTGTCTTCTCACACACACACCCTTTGCTCTGTGATCAGTTCAAAGGGTGCCCACCATATGGGAGTGGAGCAGTTATTTGATACCAAAAACAAACAAATGAAAAAAACAAACCCCAAACCTGGTATATATCTTTTGGGTCAGACTCTTAGGAGGTCGAGGTTTATTTGTCTACTATTCAAAGAAGAGACACGATGCTTTAATTAGGCAAATTTTTAAAGTTCATTTATGTCTCCATACTCTATGGTTGCCCAGTAGTGACTTCCCACTTATTTAATGTAGGATGAATTGATAAATTTTTGCCTCGGGTCAGCTCTTTCATAAATAGCAGACACACAGATAGAAAATTCCAGTGAAAAATCAAAGTGTGTTTGCAAATAATACATTTGACTTTTGACCTCCTGTTAAACATATATGAAATATTGAAATAGATTTTCTAGCTCCTTGGTAACATAGGAGTGCATACGAGTGCTTTTAACAAACTCATTTATTCTAATATCGTTTCTCTCACTACAGTGTAGGAGTAATCTGACACTTGATAACAATTAAAACTAGTGTGCTTAATGGGGTAAACATTCTTTCCTGTGCATGAGGTGGTTCTGGGGCCTTTGAGCCAGATCTTAAAAAATGGACTTGGATAGTTTCATTAGAACATGTGTATATCCTTAAAATAATGTTTTAATTCTATGTATGCTTGTTGAGAGCTTATTTGAATTATTTTTTTTACAAAAAAGGAGACAACTGGCTTCCTACTTCTGACCTTTTTCTTCCTCTGCAGTGGTATACGGACGAAGACCATGGAATTGCCAGCGGCCCAGCCCACCAACACATATACACTCACATGAGCCACTTCATAAAACAATGCTTCTCTTTACCTTAGCACCTCAAACGGCTTGCCAAACCTCATTGAAAGCCATTTTTGTTCTGTCTCAAAGCTGCACTGTTATGATCGTGGAAAAAAAAAGTACACGCAAATCGAGAAATTCAGCGTTACTCTTGTTCCCAAATTTCATATCTATAACCCTAAGAAGGGACTTCTGTCTTCACGACAGATTATTACCTTCCGCAAGTTTGAAGTATTCTGTTTCTGTTTATTATTTAAAATCATTACCACATCAGTTGCTGAAACAACTAGGAGTTGTTCATATGGGAGCTCTGCATAGGTTCCCTGGGAAGCGTTCATCTTTTTCTAACTGGACCAGCCCATGCGTGCTCTCTTCTTTAAAGGGAACGCAGTGATGTCCCTGAAGCGGGGGTGAGAGAGGGAGGGTTAGGGAAAGAAGTGAGGAGGCATAGCTGGGAAGTCAAGTCCGAGCCCAATGACCCGACCAGACTACGGTCAGCAACTCTTGGAGGAGAGCTGTTCACAGCTAGATGGGCACGGTTTTCTGAGAAAGATTATTTAACCAGTCTCAGGAAATCATAAATGCAAGCACCGACTTCTAAGTAAAACCACAGCAGTTGAATAGACTCCAAAGAAATGAGAAGGAAACTGGCAACAAAGCAAGGCCCGCAGGTGCTGGTTATGGCTACAGGTGCTAAGAAAGCACAGCAAGGGTGAGGGGAAAGTACTGCCAACGGGCTTCATAAAATACTGATGTTTCCTGCTGAGGGAGGCAGCCTGGAACTGAGATGTGAGCACATCAGCTTGCCCTGTTAAAAGATGAAAATATTTGTATCACATATTCTAACTTGAAGGAGTCCTTGCATCAGTTTTTCTCATGTCATTTCTCTGAGCGTCTTAATTAAAAGGGGATTTTAACTTCCTTGGACTTGTTTTTAAAAACTGAAAATAAACCACAAAGTGATGTATTATTATTCCCGTTCTACATCCTGTGGAATTTCTCCTGGTCGTCGAATAAATGTTCCTTCATTTTTTCAGAGGTAATGCATTTTGTGTCTTGAATGAGACCTAAACCACACTGGCATATGGACACGCTTATCCAGAAAGGCTCTTGTTTATTTTGCTTGTTATCCCAGACTGCCTTGTAAACATGGAGAGAGTTCAGTTTTTGTTTAAAAAAAAAAAAGCCAGATACATAAAAATGTGTTAAATTAAGCACTTCATAGGGTTTTTATGTAATACATATATAATTTCTGTTATCACACACACATATATAGCATTTGAAAAACCCAAATAATTTTTATTTTTTATGTAATTTATAATTTTATTCCAGGAAACTACGATGACGCTCATATTATAGGAACAAATAACATCAACAATATCATCTCAGTATAGGTTAAGAAAAAATTCAATTAAGGGTTGAATTATTTGTGGCTGACACACCTATATTAATGAAAGCATAGATTTCAGGTGCTGAATTTAGCCTAACAGATAACTGAGGAAATGTGATTTTTTTTGTTCCGTTACCTGCAAAATGGCCTCATTTTAAAAAAATTGATTTTATGAACTCAGACTTAGCTTCAGACCATTTGCTGGAAAAAGTTATCTCAGAGTGAGCTCCAGCATAAAAATCTAAAAGTAGAAGAAATGGAAAAAATCTATCAATTCAACATAAGACCAGTGAGTCACACATAGGAATGGACAGAGGGTTGTGAAATTCAGCTTCAGTTGTACTTCGGGACCATGTCATTGAAGAGCTTCACCTTAAGTCTCAAACCCCACTCACCCATTAGAGACATAAATTGACCTTCAAACCTATAAAGCCCCTGTCATAATTCTATTTCTTAATAGAGTTCAATCATCATGAATGGGCCAATCCCTGCAGAGTTCTATATCTAGAAACAGTAGTCATAGATCATATGTCCACACCCTGTACTGAATTAATAGTCACAAAAACAAGTAGAAATTCTTTTAATTGAAACCAAATATTGTGCAATATCAGATGTTGTACAGATATTCAGACCATTTGGCAATATCAGATGTTAACATCAGATATTGCACAATCTCAGATATTTTACAGAAATCAGTAAGACTATTTTATACAATAGTAGGTGTTATATAGTATCAGATACTACACAGATATTAAGACCCCTGTGTAACATCTGATATAGTACAACAGTAGTTTCTAAACATGTTAAATGTTTTCTCTGGCGCTCAGAAGGAATAAAAAATTCTAGCATGTATCTTTCATATAATGAGGGTTACAAAAGTTAAAGTAGATTTCATTTGGCCCTCCTAGGGCAAGAGTTACTCTCCAATAAGAGTTTTAAATTGGCTTATGGGAAAAGAAGGTAAAGACGTTGACAAATAACTTAGAGATAAACTTCATCTGAGGCTAAGCTGGAGACACACAGAAACGAAGTGCAGTACCAAAATGTGAAGACTTGCCTGCCATTGACAGTTGCGGCCTCAGCAGGTGCACAGATGCTAAGATTCCTATCACACACAACCTGTTGGAGCTCAGCAGTGCCCAGGAGCAGCACATACACCAAAGGAAAGGAGCGATAGTCACATCTCTTCTACAGATCCAGAGTTTGCTTTTACTTTTTGCTCAAGATTTTTAGAAAGTCACTTGAAAATTATTTATGGACATTTTTGGAAACCTTGCTAAAAAGGATGATATACCTCCATGCCTTCGCAAACAGAAGGCATAGATCAGTTCATCCTCTAAAGCCACCACCATAAAGATCAATTATCACGTCAGGCTGTATGTTATGTCATTCCAGGCATTTTCTTATTCACAGGTGGTCACTGAAGCTACCAATGCTACTACTTGGTATTTGCTGCTTTTGAGCTAAGTTGACGTGAGAATTGCAATTTATAAAACTACTAGATTTGCACAATATTTAAGATGCACTAAGTTCTAAATCAAAAACATACCAAAACACAAGGATGGCTTTTTTCATAAAGAGAATTTTGTCAACTTTGTGGTTCTTTCAGCAGTGTCCGAGATCCTTTTTACACACATCCTCAATGGTCTGCAGTGTGTATTATGTCTGAGGTATACAGGTGATTGAGAATGAGAGACGAAAGTAAGTAATAAAGCATACCATGACTGCCCATAAGAAAAGCTCAGAGCAAGGTATTAGTAAGACCAATGTCGTGCTCAGTATAAATTTATCATCTTTCTGCATGTCACCTGTGACAATATTAACATTTAAACTTGAGAACTGGAATAGAAAAAAGTAATTTCCCCACTGCTAAATTGAGAAGGGTATCTTCTCTAGTGTTACGGACTTTAAACTTCCACAAGCTCAACGAAATTTGTTATTCTTCATAATCTTTCAGCTGAACAGTTCATCCCAATTTTGTCAGATTTAAAACACGTATCTGGTGAGAAGCTGACCCATCAAATAACCAAAACCCTGATTATTTCATGAAGCTTCTCCTCTCCAAGTCATGATACTTGTGACTTGTGAGCAAAGAACTTCATCGGGCAAGTTTTGTTTCCAGTGTTAATCACAAAAATATGAGTCACAAAGAAAGTGTAACATACTGAGAAGAAATATTACTCATCTTAACTTGATTCTGGTTGCGTGACCTGGAAGGAGTACCTTGTTAAGGAGGGCGGCAGTCGCTCCTCGCCTCCTGCTGGAGACTCAGTGCACTGCAGCCTGGATAAGGTGGACATGGGTTAGAATCTCCGCAGCACCACTCAAGCGAGAAACATTTTCAAGAGCGCTAGTCTCTTTGAACAGTTTCTTAATTTGAAAGAAGTACAAAAACACCTACTTCACAGAATTTTTGCCTTGCTGTGAAGATTTGTGCATACACTATGCCGGCATTGTATCCATGCGGGCACCCTCAACCCCCACCCTTCCCCTCCTCCTATTCACGGCTATTGAGCTTTTTATCTTGGTTTATGACTCCACGGATGATTCCATAGATTGCACAGTTCCCCACCTTAGGTGTCTGTGTCTACAGGTGCTGGGTACACAAAGGTGTTCAGTAAGCATTCGCTTTTGCTTCTTTCTATACTGCCATACCGGCGAGAGTCTTTTCTTGGATCTTTAATACATTCTTAATAAGATGAGCAGCAGCATTTTGTGATATATTTTACTTAGGATTCTGTCCGCAGCCTTTCCCAGCTGGAGAAAAATCCGAACACAGACCTAGGCTCTGGAAAGTTACAAAGAAGGGATAAAACGCTATTCCTAATTTTTAAGGAACTTATAAACAAATGGAAAGAATAAGTCACATGGCAGAAATCTAGAACTACACACACCAGAAGCAAGAGAATCTACGTACAAAGCTAAGACCGTGGTAAGAACTATGAGATGAGCGGAGTGAAAATGTGGGCGGGGAAAGGTGGTTTCTGGATTCATACCGGCTGCCATTGGCTGAATTTTGTACTACACCTACATTTCTTTCATAGTCTCAAGATTACTATTGATACTTTTCAGAACTTTTTTTTTTTCAGATACAACACAAAACATATCATATAAAGGAATGTTCTACATGAAAACATTTATAGTAAAACTATTGTATTTGGAGTTACCTACATACCTAAGGAGTATGCTTCAGCCTGTTGGGTTTCAGTCACAATAAAAGTTTAGAGACCACTCACAGAGTGTTTGCTTTGAGCCTCGCAGTCATCCTGGATCCCTAAGGAAATGATTCCACTTTGTCCCCCACTATAGTCGACTTCCACTGCGCTGCTAGACTCATCTTTCCAAAAATCCATGCCTCTCCAGTACTCAAAACTTTTAATGGACAGCGGGCAAAGATCATAATATACAATTTAACATCATTTTATAATAGAAGTGATCACCATCTATTTCTACCTTTTCTCACAGGTCTTCATTACTCTCCTAACACTCCACCATCCTGGGCTGTTTGCTTGGTTCCAAATATGCCATACATCAAATATGTCAGGCTCCGGTTACACCATATAGCTTTACTTTTTTATTTCATTTTTATTTCAATACTGGCATGTGTTTGAGAATCTTTGCAGCTCTTGGAGTAGGTTTCCTTCCCTATTTCCATCCTAATTCATATGCTACCTCTTATATAACATTTTCCTCAAACTCTGCCCTACTCAAAGTTCCATCTTTAAGTTATTCTCTGCTTTCATTATGCAGCCAACTCAGTACATACCGCATTGTGCTCTAGCTATGTGTCTACTGTGCCCTTGGAAGCAAGGACCACAGTTCTCTTTTCAAAGTTCCAGGTCAAAAGTAGTGGCCAGTACACCAACAGAAGCTGAACTGGAGTTGTATCAGTGAGCTGCAGCTTTCTGAGGAAAACAACCAAAGAGATCTCAAAAATAAAGTAAGCAATCCTTGAACACTGGGCTTCTTCGAGGGGACTGATTACAAGTAATCTTTCCCAATGGAAATTTAGACAATCATATATCCAAATCGCTCTCACACAATTTTCAAATGCTTGTAAATCTCATTTCCTTTCACCTGATGAATATATGAGATAGTTTATTAGAACATTTGGGTAGCAATCTTGAAACAATAGTAAAATAATCAGGTGACCAGGAGTGAACAGCTACCGCTAAGCAGGAACAGAGGTAGATCAGTACAGATAGAAAAAAAAAAAAAAAAAAAAAAAAAAAAAAAAAAAAAAATGAGCCACACTTTTAAGAGCCAAGAAAAATCCTAAAAGATCTAGATCTAGGGATTGTGTTGAAATAGAAGTGGCTTGTGAATTGTCAGTGGAGAGTTTCTATCAAGCTATGAATTTAAACTACACACCAAGGAGATATTCAGATTAAATTTAGGGAAAAACTTCCCAGTATCAAAGGCTGTTAAATGGTAGCAATTATAAAGTATACTCACGAGTCAAGAGAAAAATACTAAAGTACATTCGAGTTCTGAATGTAATTACTTCTATAACATACTGGCAGACGGCTACAAAAGAAAAATAGTACCATCTGACCCATTGTAACAGGGAGGAGAGAAATTTTAGGAAATGCTTTTCCCATGGTGTGTGTGTGTGTGTGTGTGTGTGTGTGTGTGAGGGGGGTAAAAACCGAAGTTTATGGAGTTCTAATAATGGGAAAGCCTACCAAAGACCTTGGAAGGTTTTACTAGTCTGGGAGCAATGCCATTTGCACCCAATTCATTGCTTTCTGGAAAAATGAAGAGATATATCCTACTATAGCTCTCAGAATATTCTGTTCATAAGGTTCAAATTGTCTGAACACTCTTGAAATATCTGCATCACCAAATTTTCTTCACAGGGGTGTTTAAACTTAAATATTACGTTCAAACAATCAAAATGTTCTACATCGATTTACTGACTAACACTAAGGAGAAAAAAGACAAGACACTTTGCATCACAATTTAAAATGTGCAAGGAAATTAATTAGGATAAATATTTATTTCCACATAACATTTCTTAGTTGTGAAAAACACAATATCCTAGTCACATTTACACATTACTTGAACTTTGCAATAAATTACATTCAAGATATTCAGTAATTTTGACCAGGAATCTGAGGAGATTAGGAGGAAATATATAACACTACATTTTTTTCTTATATTTTATATGATTTCAAAATATTAGGATTGACATAGAGCATTAAAATTCACACGAGAACAAAATAACTATAAAAATACTCAGAAATACAGAATTTCATTGGATATGATTGCTTATTCAAATAAGTGATCATGTGAAGGTCTAAATTCACTATGATCATTTGTAACAGAATGGTTATTAATGTATTAAAACACTAGGAGGCTGCTTTTAGGACTGACTGGCATGCAGAGCTAGTCTAAATCATAAAACAATGGGAATGTTTACAATGTAGTATCTGTATTATAAAACACACAAAGGCAACACATTTGGAATGGAAAATTTCTGTGTTTTTCCTTGGCATTTATAAACACAGATTTTATTAACTGCAAATTATCTGTATATGTTTTTAGGTTTCTGTTCCGTAAAAGAGATGGCTCCTCAAAAGACTGTGAGAGGAATTTTCAGAAAGTATCAAAATGTTGAACCTAATGGAAGCTTTGTTGGGTTTTTTAAATTTCCCTCACAAGCTTAATCACAAGAGGATTTTTTTCTCACTCTTCATATGCAGTTATACACAAAATATGTAATTAATAGTTTGGAAAAGCCACAGGGCTCTGAATTATTGTAAAATAGAACACCGCAGATTATAAGGTTGGTGATCACTGGTGATTCTTAGGAAACAAGAGCACTATAAGATTCCATCTTTATTAACTTCACATTCATCTAAAAAGAAATGAAATACTGTATTTTTAGTAATGCTCGGAAATTCTTAACTTTGCTTCCTCTTGTACAAGCTCAGTAAAAATGGATTCTTTCAGATGGACTGAAATATCTACAGAACCCTCTCAAACAGAATCTGAAATTTTCATTTAAAAGATTATTTTTCTACAACATGCATTCAATTAAAAAGTGGAAAAGAGCTTTGCAGAAGGAAAAAATTACAGTTGGAGACCTGTCAGCCTAACATTAGAACATGATTCAGAAGCAGCATTAAGCAGTACGTGACCTTTAGCAGCAGAGTAACTGGGGAGTGAAATTTCACGTACAAGGATTCACCATGTGGCCTTCCACGAGTGTGTATAATAGGTTTATTTGGAAAACATTTGTTTTTAATGGGAGAGAAATTTAACAGCATATTTCTGATAAAGATTTATACTGAAAATCTCACAAAACTTACAAAGTTTTCCGGAAGTATTTCATACAAGCCTAGTATTTGATGGTGTAATCACAACCTGAATCACTAACCGACCACTACTTGACTCCTTGCATTAGTTTCTGATTCTTTTAAACAAGTTGTGAACAGGTTCTATGTATTTTTTCAAATGACTTTAAGTGTTAGTTAGATATATAAACTCTTACGTATTAAATGTATCGTAATAAATCAAGGAAATGCATAAATACAATTATTAAAAAATGTTTCCAAACAAACTTTTTGATTGGGGTCTTCTGAAAGAAGTCACTAACGCTAAGCTATAAAAAAATAAAAAGAAGTAAGACTACCTTTCAAAATTCTTCTGAATGAAATGACCAGGTAGCTTCAGGTCACTAAAGTAGGAAAATACAAACTAGGTAAATATGACATCTCTTTAAGAAAGCTATTGCTCTCATAAAACCAACGATGAGAATCCAGTGTTTACAAATGTCTAACATACAGCAAGGAGCACACAGATTCTTGCATTAGCTATTGTATATGCTCACAAGGGTATCTCACTGTTCAGAAGTTTAAACACAGAAATGAAACAAATTATTGCACTACTTACAGTGTGAAGGTGGATTTGGGATGAGAGACAGAATTTACAATACATGATCAAAGCAGTTTTATTAATAATTGTGGTGCTCTTCTCATATATATGTAAAAAATAAATTGAAGATCAAGTCATAGACAAGTCTCCCTGTCAACACCTTTCCCTGAGTCCGCTTTCTTCTCTTTTCGGCTTTCAGTGCTACAGGGGGAAGAAAAGGAGAGATGTATTACTGCGATCCAGCACGGAGACTGTGAGGTCTGCTTGCTCAGACACAAAACCCATCAGCCCCAAAGTACCACATGGGCCCTTAGCATTGCTCTTTCATGCTGCGAAGCATAGCTAGATAGCAACAATTACAACCCCCTGCACTCGGTGAGATGGAAACCAAGAACTGCAGAAAGGGAGAAATTCAAACAACAGTAACTAAAACACAAAAATCAGACATTTTTAAACAGTTCCAAAAGCATGCAAGATTAATACCATGGTCCTCATTTGGGCAAAGGAATTACTGCTAATTGTTGAAAATGCCAGTCCTGCCCCCATCTGAAGAAAGCACTGACATCATAATGACACCAAAGAGATGTCACGGTAGGTATTTCAGGGCTCGCTCGAGTGGCTCATCCTTTGTGCACAGACTGGATCCTGATTTTTGGTGAGAACTATGTCATGGTCTGTTGGAAAGACACATCTCCACTGTCATCGGGGAGGCAGTCACCCCACACGCTGCCCTCCACACACCTGTGCAGACTGACCGTCACCCTGTCCATCAGAGGAACAATGTTTTACCTCACTGCTTCTGTAATGAACTCATTCCCAAGTGACTTCTGTTTTTTTATCTGCTATCCAATTAACCTTATTAGCGGGCAAGCTGGTAACAAAACTCTACCACTTCTGTCTTCATGGGGTATTTTTTTGGTATTTTCCCAAAGATCACTTTTCCTACTCTCATGTTGACAGTTTTCATGGAAAACTCAAACAGTGTGCTCACGTGCGAGAAGCTCACAGCAAGAATACAGGCTTCGGGGCAGGGGCGGGGGATGCACAGAATGGCTTACTCCCCAGTGACCCCCAGCACAGGGCAGCGTTGCCCCCACCTGGGGCCTCTCCTGTCCTTCCCTGCCACTGATACAAGGGGTGAGTGGCAACTGGCCTCTGGGGCCCCGAGCTGGAAGAACCCACACACTTTCACTGGCCACTTCTCCCCTTAACCTAAATTTATGAGATAGTTGACAGTGGGGAAACCCTTGGTTTTAGAACTCTTCTCCAAGTAATAAAGCGACAGTTAAAGCCTCCTCCCCACCCCACCCCCCCTTTCTATGCGGCCTCCTGCGCAGCTCTCTTAGTGGTCAACAACTTAGACACATTCTACGAGTGTGTTTTTCAAATTGCTTTTCCTCCAATTCAAGCTCGAAACAGCCCTTCTCAGTTGTCACCACCACCCGGCGCCATCAGGTAAGAAGTGCTGCAGCTTCTGCCGTCCGTGGCACGCTGCCAGCACTGCGAGCTGGTGTGAGCGAGCGTCTATGGCACCCGGGTTTATGCCTGCCACACTTCTCAGCACGCACTACTTACAGGTCAGAGCAAAGCAACTTTTCTCCCTTGTCTTTTCTCCTTCCACAAGAAGAGATGACAGTGTGCACATGATGTGTTGAGAGCCTTAACTCTGTATTTTTAACTCCTCTATCTGCATGACTCACTTCCTTCTACTTTAAGTGCCTTTCATATGACAAGTGGCTGCTATCCTACTTTTCAAATTAACTTTTCCTTGGGCTTTACCTGGCTCCTCGTCTCTTCTCTTCCGCCAGACAAAGCCAGTGAAAAAGGGAAGGCATGGGGCAGCGGAGGAAGCCTGGACTTGGAACTGGAAGGTTAGGTTCAGTTTCCGGAAGCCAAGAAGGAACTCTGTGACCTCGGACTAGTTGTTTAATCTCTCTGCGGCTTGGTTTCCTCATCTGTAAATTTGAACTATATGAGTCCCCAAATTCTCTGGTAGCTCGAAGGCCAGGATTCTGAAGCTGGCATTCTCAATCGCAGTGGGGCCCTATCTTTTGAAAGATAGACTACAAGAGCCCATCTGTAGGAGACCCTAGGGATGCAGACACACTGGCACGGTTCCTGTGTGCATAATGCTAAGTTCCATAAGCTTTTTATAAATGAGCACATTCCCAGTGGCACTATTAGTCACCAAGTGGTGAGAAAAGATTCAGAATGTTGACTTAATTCACAGATAATGCTTCTTCCTGATGTCCTGCTTTGGTCCTACTGGTTGTTTGGTTACAAAACAATAACCGATTAAATGATCAGGGCTTTTTTCCCTCTCTAAAACTGGTGGTTTTGGTGTCAGATTTCAACAAACTTATAAAGCAGAAATTTTATAACCAGCTCAAAACTTCTATGAAAAATACTATTGACTTGAACCCATCTTCTTACTGTATGCCTATTACTGTCTTTATTTCCTTGTTACTTTCATTTTTCACGATTCCAATAAGTTCTAAACTTTCATTGTAATAAATATACATATTTACTAAATATGTAGCACATCTATGATGTGCTATTGCAGTAGATACATATTACATAGCTGTTGGGTACCAGGTACTCTGCAAAGACCAAGGGATACAAGACAGATGAGACAGTGCCCTGCCCTGGAGGAGTCACATTTTAAAATCTAAAGAAATAATATTTCAGGAGAGAGCAGAACATGACCCACTACCTTCATGCTGCCAACTAGTGATCTATGAAACTGTTATGTTTCGATCACACCAAAATAGTTGTTGCAAACAACATTTACCAAGAAGTCATGACAGGGCACAGGCCTAGGAAATCACAGCAAAGGAGGAGAATCCAGGATAGAAGAAGGTGGTGGAAGTGGGCGGCCAGAGGGGAGCAGAGAAGATGGTCCCAGAGCCTAGCCTCTGCCACCAAGGCAACACCAAGCACTGTTTTTCCTAATGTTGCCAGGTAGCTTCCCAAGAAATGTCAATCTCAGTGTTAGTTGTTCGCCTATTCTGATGCAATGTGTGGTTTTTAACGAGACCTATTTCTGCCAATCCAGTTCAAGAAGCCACAGAGGACCTTGTCACATGTATGCGCAGCACTGTTGAACAAGGATCAAATTAGACATCCTGCAGATGTGGTCAAATTTTCAGTGAGTTCTGATATCCTTCTTTCAATCAGGCGAGATAAAATATTGTTGACAACGAACAGTGGATGAAATGATGGATAAAATACAAGTGCTATTCCCAACTACACTGTGGAAAGGTATCTAAGCTTCTTTAATAGGCATACAGGACCAATAGCAAGGGACAGGATGGAGAATAAGGAGAGGGGCCGTGTCAAAAACTGCAAGGAAGCCAACTTAGGCCTCAAGAGATACAGACCCTGGTAAATGGGTCTTCAGGTTTGGGTTTAGTTTAGTTTAGTTTAGTTTAGTTTTATGCACCAAGAGATACTCTAGTAGGCACAACACTGTTAGAGTTCTTGGTCATCAGATTTCAATACCTTCAACAGACACACCATGAAAAAGCAATGGCTTTGGGAGGGTATTGTTGTTATTAGTGTTGGTGGTTTTTGGATTTCTGGAAGCCACACACTCTGCCAAGTTTCACTGTTATAAAGATGAAAGACATTAACCATTAACCAAGAGGAATTTTTCACATGGAAAGCTACAGACAATCCATCTAAAGGTAAACTTTCATTGCACAATAGTTTGAATCTCATGTTAGGAGGAAGGTATGTTCAAAGAGTAAGAAACAGGGGTGCCTGGGTGGCTCAGTTGGTTAAGCATCCAACTTTGGCTCAGGTCATGATCTCATGGTTTGGGAGTTCGAGCCCCACATTGGGCTCTGTGCTGACAGTTCAGAGTCTGGAGCCTGCATCAGATTCTGTGTCTCATTCTCTCTCTGCCTCTCCCCCCACTTGTACTCTGTCTCTCAAAAATAAATAAATGTAAACAAAAATAAAAATAAAAACAAAGAGTAAGAAACAAGTGGTTGTATCAAAATATAAAGGATGGTCCTAATTAAAACCGAACCTGCTTAAAGCACACTACATTGTTTTACAACAACTAGTTTTTTGTGTGGTGAAAAGCATCACCTGACTATACTATTTACTTTAAGGAGTACCTAAAATACTATGACATAAAATTTTTTGCTTGAACCAAAGAAAAGCAGAGAAGGAGTTTGTACTATGGCTCCATTTAGTACAGGAAGAAAAGCAATCTATAAGTTGGTTGTCTCAAATTTTCTACATATTCTCATGGCTGGCATTTTATTTTGAGCTCATAAACCTGGAGTTCCCATTTTTTTAAAAAAAATCAGAGAAATGCCATATTTTTAATGTGAACGAGTCCATAAGCACATATTTCAATGGGTTTAAGAAATTACCCTTCTCATAATTCTGATTTTCTTCCAAGACCAAAACAGAATTACTGTGAGGATGACTCTATCAGACTGTAGCGGGGATCTTTGGGGAAGGAAGATAAAGCATGTTTTAGAATAAAATATGACTTCTGTTTGAGCCAAGCAAAGAAATACATGAAGATTTTAAAGCCCTGTTACAAGGCAGAAAACATCAATCAGAAGTCTTTGAGGGAGCCTACTGAGTAACTTATATTAACCTCCTTTGGACTAAGTGTTAGAAGTAGTTGTTAAGAATGGAGAGAGGGAGAGGGGGAGGGAAGGAGAGGGAGGGAGAGGGGGAGGGAGGGAGGGAGAGAGAAAGAGAGAGAGAGAGAAAGAGAGAGAGAGAGAGAGAGGTGACTAATTCCAGATTTCTGGGATGAGAAGACTGTGCACATCCACTGTTTGTCTTTTTGGGATAGAGATGACATTGAAGCAGCATGCCATTTTGGGGTGACAAAAACCAGCAACAAGAGATATTCTGTAAGTCTAATGTATCATCTTTTCTGAGCCCATGTTTCCAAATATTTCTCATGAAGCCAGATAAAGCTTGCAGGTTTGGAAGCATGTGGTGCATAAATGGAAGCTCCCAGCTTTGCAATTTCTTAATTCAAGGATAAATTTTCTTTTTTTCCAATATAGAAATTTGATGTCATCACTAAATATGGTGCTGTGCGATTTGTTGATTTATATATGATGTATTCGTGTAAGTCATGTAGGAAAAAAAGTTCACTCAAGCTTCCAACCTTCTTAAAGAGCTGAGTAGTTATAGGAACACCATAAACACTCAGTCCGATACTGGATCTAAGCCCAAGCCTTTCCATGTCTTTTGCCTCCCCAAAACTCACACAGAGAACATAGGCTGACCAGGTTTCTAGAAGACACCATTTAACACAGGAAATACAACCAAGGAATAGGTTTGAGGGAGAGGGTCTTACCTTTGGGGAATCAGCTTCTAGAGTGATTAGGAAGGGGAGCTTATGACAAAAATGTAATATAAAAATTAAGTAGAAAAAGTTAATTTAAGGTCATGAAAATAAAGGAACTTAATAACTAAACACTGTCCCAAATCCCTCAATCACTCTTTAATAAGAAGAGCTATTAGCATAACACAGAGATTTTTCTTCAGATCAGTATCTAAGAAGACTGGATGGTTTGAACGCTTATAAATTCTGGAAAATTCAGTTGGAAATCCTGTGATGACTCTTCATATTTAAGGACACACTCTTCCCCAGCATGCATTTACAACTTAGCATCCACAACTATAGGAGTGGTTTGTAATGTTTGCATACAGAGAAATATGAATGCATAGAACTTTCTGGAGCTGAAAGTTTTGGAGTAAGGAAGTTAGGGAAGATTTTCAGGGAGTTGGAACAGGAACCTGGAAATATACTAAGTGCAAAATCACCATTACATGTGCATATGGGGCTTAAGAAAGGACAATGGGGGAGTGCAAAATGTGGGCAGATATCTAAGAGGGTTCTGGGAAGTGGGTGATGAGTGAATATAATGGAACTTTATTGCAAAAGAGTAGGCCAAATGAATGTCCGAAAGTGGCCTGCATTGGGACTCATTTACAGCACCATTCTCCCCACTGTCATAGTTTTGGAATAAGCTTTTAATCTGAAAGGGAGATGTTGAAAAACATGCCAACAAATGTGCCAATTACAATTTCTGCCTACTTTTAAAAAGAGTTTTCTGTAATATTTTAGACCTAAATTCAATGGAAGCCAATACTATTCTTTCCCTAATAGATTCATGTCATAAAATGATTGGAATCAGTACAAATTCACATTATTTTGGAATTCAAACCTTTTAGAAGGAAAGCTTGACTCCTTATCTTTTGAGTTATCGGCAGTCATCAGAAGGTTCCTCCACAAGGCAGTCTTTGACATTTCATCGGAGATATTGATCACAGATGGATCATCTCTAGATAGGAGTTTACCCAAAATGAAATTTAAAAAATTAAGTAATTGCAGTTATCTAGTGATAGAAACTAAATATAGGACAGTCTTATACCTTTGTACAGTATTTTTCACGGTTAAAAATTAAGAAGTAAATAGTTCTCTCAATTTTTTTTTTAATTTTTTTTTTCAACGTTTATTTATTTTTGGGACAGAGAGAGACAGAGCATGAACGGGGGAGGGGCAGAGAGAGAGGGAGACACAGAATCAGAAACAGGCTCCAGGCTCTGAGCCATCAGCCCAGAGCCTGACGCAGGGCTCGAACCCACGGACCGCGAGATCGTGACCTGGCTGAAGTCGGACGCTTAACCGACTGCGCCACCCAGGCGCCCCTCAATTATTTTTTTAAAATCTATGAAAAACAAACATCTCAACAAAAGATTCTAGTTATATAGACACTGGTTTTGGCTAGAGTTCTCCTAATTCATTTCAAATTACAGAGATGAGTTTCTGTGTGTTTATTGCTTGGGCTCTTGCCCCTACATTCGTAGCCGAGCAAATCAACTTCAGTCTCCTGCTCGGACTCTACAGTGGCTCTCACACACTCAGAAAAAAAAGCCTGGTAGGGGTGCCTGGGTGGCTCAGTCAGTTAAGCATCTGACTCTTGGTTTCAGCTCAGGTCACTTGCTGTTTGTGAGTTCGAGCCCTTCATTGTGCTCTATGCTGACAGCATGGAGCCTGCTTGGGATTCTCTGTCTCTCTCTTTCTGCCTCTCCCCTGCTTTCTGTCTGTCTGTCTCTCTCTCTCTCAAAATAAACAAACAAACAAACAAACATTAAAAAGACAGAGAAAGCCTGGTAGGTGGACCATAGGCTCTGTCCCTGCCCTCACCCTCCAAGTTCATCTCCTGCCATTACAGCCCTGCTCCTTCTACTCTGGCCACAAGCAGTGGTCTCCCGACTATTCTGGAACACTCTGGGCTTGCTGCCTCAGGGCCTCGTATTTGTCCTGCCTTCTGCCTATGATGTTCCTTTACATGGTACAACTCTTTCCCTCCTTTGTTTAAATGTCACCTACTCAGGCCTTTGCTGACTACTGTATTTAAAACTTCTGGGCCACCTGAGTCGTTCAGCCAGTTAACTGTCCAACTCTTGGTTTCAGCTCAGGTATAATCTGTTTGTGAATTCAAGCCCCACGTCAGGTCTGCACTGACAGTGTGGAGTCTGCTTGGGATTCTCTCTCTCTCTCTGCCCCTCCCCCACTCTCTTTCTCTCTCTCTCTCTCTCCCCCCCCCTCAAAATAAATAAACTTAAAAAAATAAAATAAAATTTCTATTTCCATCCACTCAGAGTACCCTCATCCTCTTTTGCTTCTTGTTTTTATTGCACTTTTCACCATCTAAAACACTATCCCATATTACTTGTGCCTTTATTTTTTGCCCCCCCCACCTCTATTCTACTTGAATATAAGTTTTATGAGGATGACGATTCTTGACCATTCATCTGCTACTGTTTCCCCAAGAGTCAAGCAGGGCCTGACACTTGGTGCCCACTCAATAAATACTGGTTGAATAAATGAAGGCAGTCTGTGTATTTGGCAGATATCTTTCCAAATGACTAGAAAGGCCTTCAATATCAGGGCGCGTACAATGCTGGGTGCTTTGTTTGCATTTTAAAATGGCACCAATTTTAAGTGATGTCCAGAATTCTCTAAAATATTCCCAGGGCTAGAAACACAACCAAATAGAAGCAGAGATAAATTATAGGCCAAGTCAAAGAAAGTTTCAAGTGAGAAAAGAGCACTCTCCTTACTGCATGAGGAAAAGATACCCTGCTGTGAAAAAAAACCACCTTCTATAGAAATCCTAGGCTGACCTCACATGACCCTCATCAGTGGTTGTTCACAGACGGCAACAAATTAGACTTTTTTAGAGAGACACCAAAGGTCTGGAGCAAAACCTTGGGTCTCACAGGGTCCCTCCCTTCCCAGTCTGGACATGTGTTCTTTTTAGTTCCTCAAATCCAGCAGCCCCTAGTAACTCAAAGCATGAAATCAACCAGTTTCCAAAAGAATGTCATATGGAATACATGTTTTTCACAATATTATGTGACAAAGAGCCTTGTAAGCCGAAGAGTTTAGAAAATACTGGATTGGGGAGCCTGGCTGGCTCAGTCTGATTCTTGACTTCAGCTCAGGTCATGATCTCAGGGTTCATGAGTTTGAGCCCCCATTGGGCTCTATGCTCACAGAGTGAAGTGTGCTTGGGATTCTGTCTCCCTCTCTCTCTGCCCCTCCCCCATATGCGCGCGCGCTCGCGCTCTCTCTCTCTCTCTCTCTCAAAATAAATAAAAATAAACTTAAAAAAAAGGAAAAGAAAATTCTGATTAAAGAAAATTAAACTTAAAAAAAAAACATACAGCACTACTTAGATTCTTTAATATGCCAATATACACTATGAATCTCCAAATGGAAATGTGGTATGGAAATTTATTTAACCAAAGAATCCTTTTGAGACGGGTACCACATGAGACCAAGTATCTATCTACAAAACACACGTGGGAATTTATTGATTCAATGAAACAATCAACAGGATTTTAAAACTTACATACAGTTTAAAAAAAGATAAAATGTCTTCTCATGTTTAGGTGGTAGATAATTATATTTTAAAAACCTAGGTAATGTGATTTTACAGTCAGACCCTGAAGATCTAGAAGATTTTTCCAAATTTTTGGTAAATACTATGATAAATTCTTTCCAGAGGGAAAAGTTTTCTCTGCTTTTTTATTGGCATGGTCTTAAATTATCCTTAAGTGCTTCAATATCTATATATCTGTATGTAATTTTTGGCCAGATACGTTTTTAAGTTTTTATTATAACTCACAGGCATTTGCATTCTTTTGTTATGTCTTTGTGCATAAAGAAGATAGGCATATTTTGGAAGAGTTACATAAATACTTCCTAAAATGGCTGGTAGATGTGAATCCTTGAACTCAGGAAATAGATCATCTCTTTGGAAGTGCCATTTTTTAGGGGTAACTTCCCAGAGTTCAAACATCTACCAGTGATCAATTTAGTGAATACCTAGCTCATTTATCCTGGAATTGAATCTTGACCAGTCTTCAACTGATACTTTTAGAGCTTTTGTATACATTATAAAATATGAGAATAAAAGACTTCAGACAACAGTCCCCTGCCCCCCTTCATTTTCAGCCACTTGCCCCTACTCACGCAGCTACCAGTGTCAGAACTTAGTTCTAGGACAGGGTAATCTAAGTCCTACTTCCATTTCTTTCTATTCTAACACAGCTTCAACAAACCTTTGTAGGAATGCACACAGTTCACAATTCTTAAGTAAAGTATACAACAACACGTTTCATGACTCCAAGTGGTGTGCTTTTCCACGCGTATCTTACCTATAGTGCCCTTCCAATGGGAGCTGTACTGTGCCCTCATCTTCCATAGCTAGCATACTTTGTTCTTCCTGGAAAGACAAATGTAAAACATACAAAGTGAACCTGATGAATCTCCATTTTACATTAAAGAAGAAACACAGATTAATGTTTCACTATCTCATTAACCTCAGGACCTTCCACTTTGTTTGCATTTATTAATGCTAGCACAGGTCCTTTCGATAAAGTATCAGCTACCAAGAACATAAGTAATTAATGAGAGTCTCCTACCACAAAGTAATTTAAATGCTAACAACAATCTCCTTCATGTCACTCAATGTAAAACGTGGTTAATTTCCAAGCAGATTTTTCAAAATAATCTACATTTTAAAAGGAAAAGAGTACGGGTAATGTAATTGTTTTCATTGTTATAAAGTGTACATTACATTCCCAGAATGCTCTGTTAGAAGGGAATGAGGATGTATTTAGAGAGGTGGTTCTCAAACTTTATTTTACATCAGAATCACGTAGAGGGCTTTAAAAAATATACAGATTACCAGGCCCCACCTCCAGAGTCTCTGATTCAGTGGGTCTGGAGTAGGGCCCAAGAATTTACCTTTTCCAGTGACTTTCCAGGTGATGCTGATTATGCTGGTCTAAGGACTACACTTTGAGAACTCCTGCTCTAGAGATTTGGAAAGAGACAGGAGAAGATGCCTTCCTGTATGGACCAAACACAGGTGTGTTTTCCACTAGGCACATCTTAGGCTTTAGTTTTGACTCAGATTTCTTCTTACAATGACAATAACCTACCCTTCCCCAACAAGTAGGGATATTTCATATAATCATTTCTTCATCTATAACACTTTAAAAGCATATCTTTATGATAAAGATAACCTTATGCTACCATATTAAAATGTCCTGGTTTAGGGGAGCCTGGGTGGCTCAGTCAGTTAAGTATCCGACTTCGGCTCTGGTCATAATCTCATGGTTCGTGAATTCAAGCCCCGTGTCAGGCTCTGTGCTGACGGCTCAGAGCCTGGAGCCTGCTTCGGATTCTGTATCTCCCCCTCTCTCTGCCCCTCCCCTGCTCGTGCTCCATCTCTCTCTGTCTCAAAAATAAACAATACAAAAATAATAAAATAAAATATCCTGGTTTAGTTTTCAATAATGTTATCAACCTTTTTCTATCCACCAAAATATTTTACTTATCTGTAGATTGCAGCTTCTATTTAATGCATTTATTCTTCAAATGAGTCAATTACCAATGCTTAAGTTCAGAGAACAATGTGGGGCCATTTCAAGATGTTAGAATCATTGGTTCTAAGTCCAAAAATGGAATTTTATTTATTCTATTGTATTTATTGTTTTATTTGAGTCCAGTTGAGACACGAGGCTACTAGTTTCAAGTGTACACGTAGTGACTCAACATCCCTACATCCCTATATGTTATGCTGTGCTCACAAATGTACCTACCATCTGTCACCATACAACACTATTATAGGATCATTGACTATATTCCCTGAGCTGTGCCTTTTATCCTGTGACTTGTTCATTCCGTAATTGGAAATCTGTATCTCCCACTCCCCTTCACTTATTTTGCCCGTCCCCTACCCCTTCCCTCTGGCAACCATCAGTTTGTTCTCTGTATTTATAGTTGATTCCGCTTTTTGTTTGTTTATTCATTTGTTCTGTGTTCTAGATTCCACATATGAATGAAATCATATGGCATTTGTCTGTCTTAGTCTGGCTTTTTTCACTTAGTATACTACCCTCTAGGTCTATCCATGTTGTCCCAAATAGCAAGATTTTATTCCTTTTTTGTGGCTGCGTAATATAGAAATGGAATTTTTAAGTTAGAGGTGGAGAGCTAGATGATTTCTTGACCAAATGGGAACTGAAGAGAGAAAATAGGGTGGGCCTGGAGGCTTAGCAGTAGGTTGCCTGATCTAAGTCAGCTTCCAGAAAGACTTGATCTTTGGCTGATGTCATTTCTGGCAGGCACGGCTGTTCCTAACATTATCCTCAATATACGGACCCTGGCCTCAAGTTGAATGCTGCTTCATCTGAAGAGCCCTTGTCATATTTCTCGTTACTTAAAGATACAGTGTTTTCCATCTAGAGCCTATTCAGCTAACCTATGACTATGAAATGTAATGTGGGGGCAGGTCTCATTTTCACTCTTGGAATGCTCTCTGTACACATCCAATCTACTGACCAAGGCACGCTCCCCTCCGCTGGGACCTTATCCACCCTGCATACAGATATCTATGCCCAGTCTCTGTGGTGTACTAATGGAGAGGCCAGAGAGTACATGTCTCTGCTACTTCTCTACTTATAAGTTCCCACCCACACCCCCAACCAAAAACCCTATGCTACATTTATACTCTGTGGTACTAATGCACGTGTCTGTTTCTCCCTTGCATTACAGGAACTAATCCTATTCTCTTTCTCTCTTGTTCCTCAGGGACATTTGTTCTTTTAAGATTCATCTGATGTACTTTACTACTTGTGTATTATGCCTATTTCTCTTGTCAATGGAAGGACTATTAAAACTAATTCGAAATGAGTAGACAGCAACCATTGGTTGGAAATTACACATTTTAGCATTTGAGCAGAGTTAATCTGCTGCCTGGAAGAAGGCATGCCTTGCAAATGGGTTAGTCACTATATATGGAACATAATACATATGTCATATTAACTTATATGCACAACACTGAGGCCATGGACAGAGCATATGTATTCTTGCAGGTAAAAAAGTTTACTTCTGCTATAGAAAACATTACCTTAATGCACATGGAAGGACATACAGAGAAAACAGTCAGTGATCCCAAATGCTATTTAAGTAAAACCAAGATACAAACAAAATGCAATTCTCTCCTTGTCCACTGAAAGGTAAGCTTGGCATATCGTATGTTTTCTGACTAACTCGGAATCAAATGTCAGGAAGGCGTGTCGAAAGGTTTAATAAAGAGTACCATTCAAAAAGCAGAAGAGAGGAACAGCGTCACCAGCGCTTGGGTTACCTGGCAGCAGAAAACGAGGGCTCAAGATTGAACGTAACAGCCAAAAATTGGACCAAAGCTTTGGGAACAATTTTGTTTTTTCCTCAGATGATTTTCCACTTTTCTCTCCAATTGCTTTCAATAATTATTTTGCACTCTGTGGCTTGTTAGCATGTGTGGGCTTTATACTAGTCATAATTCTATCCAAACAAAAACTCATCACCTCTAAAGATAGCATTTCCAAGCCATGCTTATCTGAAGAAAAGGGGTGGCAGAGCAGCCGCTGCCTTGGGTGCCAGAAGGAAGCTGGGTGGGCCCCCGAGCCCAGGGACAGAGGGCCGGCTGCATCCCAGGCAGCGCTGTGAGGAAGCCAAAAATCCGAGACTTTCTGGGGAGGAACAGTCAAATCAGGCATTGGCCGTCACGACAATGACAACCTAGTTTATCTCAATCGTACAGGAACAGAGAGTGAGAGCACCCAGCTAAGTGCTACTTGTAAGTCAGAAGAACCTTGAAATGAGTTCCATTCAGCACTCCGCTCATACGGGGTCCCTCAAAAAATATGCTGAATTCTACAACATGGTGAAGATAGTAAAGGGTGATGATCAAAGTTGACCCAAAGACATCTGAAGGGTTTTGCCAGTTTGACTAAAGGGCTACTCATGCTGTGATTTGAATGCTCTCTTTTCACTAAGATAGTCAAAGCATTTGTCAGATACTGAATTGCTGAAAGATAGTCAATGCTATATCCAGTAAAAGGCAGGAAAATTGAGAGTTAAAACAATGAATCTAATTTATAGCACTCAAACATTTACTGAGCATGTATTATGTGCAAGGCACACAGTGGAAAATCCGGGAGCCATTCACAAATCCATTTGTCAAATATGTATTAAGCATAACCTACATGACAGCAGTCTGCTAGGTGCCCGCGATACAGCAACAAAGAGACAGACACTCTACTCTCAGAGGATGAGAAGGGTCATTGTAAAAAAAATACAAGAAGAGGGGCGCCTGGGTGGCGCAGTCGGTTAAGCGTCCGACTTCAGCCAGGTCACGATCTTGCGGTCCGTGAGTTCAAGCCCCGCGTCGGGCTCTGGGCTGATGGCTCAGAGCCTGGAGCCTGTTTCCGATTCTGTGTCTCCCTCTCTCTCTGCCCCTCCCCCGTTCATGCTCTGTCTCTCTCTGTCCCAAAAAATAAATAAATGTTGAAAAAAAAAATTTTTTTTTTAAAATACAAGAAGAGAGGAAGTAGTATCTGAGCCAGTCTTATTTGATCAGTTTAGTAGAAGAAAGGAAGAAACTCTAGAAACAGTGCAGGCCAAGAATAAAAAGTAGAAATAAATAAGATGTGTTTGTATGACAATGAACAACCAGACTGGCCTGAGCCAAAGGCCTGTGCCGAGTGGAAAACAAAATTGGAGTTAAAATGTGGTATGTTTTGATTAGTAGGATGTATGAATCGGAGTTATATTTTGTGATAGCATAAAAAATAATTTGTGTATCATGACAAAATGCTCGATGCTACCTTTAGTGAAATAGGTAGCATCTTCACTATATCCACTTCTCATGCAAAGTCTATATCTATGTAAGAACCCCCAAGAAGCTCAAAGTACAAACAAAGCAGAGAGCCAGTGTTCACAAAGATGGCTAGAATATTAGAGAAAATATTCATTAATTTTAGAATTCATAGATCTCAAAAAATGGAAGCGACTTTAGTGATCAAGTCTGACCCCTTTAGTTTATCCAAAAGGAAAACAAAGTCTACAGGACATAAGAAGTGTCAGACCATTTTCTTCTTTGATTACTAATAGAATAGAAAATGCTGCAAACATTACACACACACACACACACACACACACACACACACACACACACAAACTCTGAAAACCATAAAACTTGACATTTCTAAGAGCTATGTATTAAAATTTCCAACAGATAGAAGAGCCATTACATACAACTACTCACTTCAACAATGAAAGCTAAAGGTATAGTCTATATAGAATTTTACATAAATAATTGGATGCAACATATATTTTTCATCAGAATATTTGCTTCAGTATCTCTAAGTGACTTACCTAAATTATTACAAAATTCAGAAATTTCGATAGTGGAACCTTGGATTTAGAAGATTATATTCTGGAGAACCAGATACTGTGGTTTTAGAAAAGGCCTTATCTCAAATTTTAGCATGCAGCAGAATGACCCGGATGTCTGGTTAATACAGATTTTTGGACCGATCTGCAGAGTTTTGATTCAATAGGTCTGGAGTATGGTCCAAGAATGTGCATTTCTAAGAAGTTGCCTGGTGTTGGCTGATGCAGCAGAGGTCCTAGGATGACACTTTGAAAAAATCACTGCTTGAGGAAGAAGAATATGCTTGCCTCACTCTAAGATTCAATTACAAATAACATTTGCCTGTGTAATAATTAGGCCATGTTTCCCAAATCCACAACCAATTCTCATCTTTCTTAGCAGTAAGATCTGCTCTGTAATTTGTTTAACTGCACTTGTTCTTAGTTTGTTTTTTGCATCTTCTTGGCCTTGCTCATGATCCTTCTTCATACAGATCACAATTCTCACTTGCCTCTTGTTTTATTCCCATAGCATATATGTTAGAGTGAACCTCCCATAAACCAAGAAGTGTCAATATCATGATCACTGCCCAGAGCTGGATTTCCAGGATTTATCTAACATTAACTGCCTTCTGCCCCCACCCAGGAGCAAACATTCTGCTGGGGCTTTCTGCTTTTAACAGCAGCCCTTTTGTCAAATGTGTACAATGTCCTAGAGAATATTTAAGTAGAAAGGAAGGCATGTTGGTACTCTGAGCACATTTGGACATCCAGAATTTGATTCTGCAGTCTTCCCTTTACACAGAGCAATGTGCAAAATGTCAGGGTTCCAATATTCATTTCTATCCTGATTATAATCCTTTCTTTCTAAAAACTGAAGCATATGCATATGCATATGCATGAAGTACATGAAAATTTGGAACAGAAGCTCTGCGACCTTGGACTGGCCTGTGTAGCTATTTATTCTGCTTAACTCATTATTGAATTTTAAGGTCAAACTAATGTTTTCTCAATGCCATAAGACCAGAAGCGGGCTACTGATAAGAAAACCCTAGAGCATAAAGGTACAAGCTTGTAACTATCATCAAAAGGACAAAAGGTGAGCCTACTTTAAATTCAAGTCTCAGGGAGCTGAACATTTTCTGCTATTTACCATCTTTCCAGATCACAATCAAAGTTACTCAATTAATTTGAGCAATTGCAGAAATGCAGCATTTCTGGAGAACTTGTCCGTTTACCACCTGAATGCACAATTTCTTGGAAGACTGGGCCTTGGTATAAGATGCCACAGTAAGAAGATGAGATCCTTCAGTGGAGTCCATAGCCTCAAGAAAATGAAATACCGAGATCTGGGTGATCAAATAGAAAATCAACCAGAATTTAAGTTGGTTAAATCCTTCTTAAATCCTTCTTAAAATTTTCCCGTTCTCTATACTAATCATACACGTTTAATAACTAATTCCAAGTTAGAAGGTGAACATCTTTAAACTTCCTTTTCTCTCTCTACTTGTTGGATGGAGAATTACCTTTCTTTGCATTGGTCAGAACTGTATTTTAATATAATTAAATTATGAATTATTTCTTCACTGTATTACTGATTCTCTTGTTTCTTTCCATGCACTGAGATTCGCATGAAAGCATCATTATATTAATCTATTTGAGACTTTAAAGGTCTGTAAATCTGCCTGATTAATGTATTATTGCAAGGCATTTCCCCCACTTTTTCTCATACTCTGATCTGAAGGATACAAGGACAAATTTGCCTCAATAAATCTTTAATCTATTTTTGTATCCTTTTGGAAGACATGGAGTCTGAGAAATTTAGTAATATTTGATTACCTCTAAAATATTTATCTTCATAATCAAAAAATAGTAAACACCCATTGGAATACAGTGGGCCTATAATGTAAAAAGGTTGGAAGCTTATTAAATAGGGTCTCTTTCTAGCTGAGATTAATAAATTCCAAAATGGTATCTGGCACACATTTATACCACACCATATATATGCAGCTTCAGGAGAGGTTCTGAGCAGTGGAAATAAGGGAGAATCTAAACTTTTCTTTAAATGACAAAAGGAGAGAAAATTAAATATAATATATGTGATATATACATTATACAACTTTTCATTTTACAAAGTTCTAGAACAGCAAGGATGCTCCGTGGTATGGTAAGGCCTAAGGAGTACGCTCTGAAAGAGATGATTATATGGCTGGGGCTGTTGCTAACTTTCTCTATGGAGGTAGTGGAGACATTCGAAATCAAAGCAAGAAAGTAAAGCAAAACTGCATTTAGAAGTTACTGCTTTAATATACTTAATATCATTCTCATTATCAGAAAGACTCAGAAAAAGCTCATGGTCAAAGGGTTTTATATTCAAAATCATCTTCTTTGGAATTTAAACTTTTTTGGGTATTGTTTTCAAGAATAATTGCTGAATAATTTTAATTACATCAAGTATGGATAATTTAAGCCTTTTGAATTTTTATATTCCAGTGTCCATCTTATTTACATTTAATTTATACCAAATTCTGTCATATTTTTCTTGAATCCTATCTGAGGAGGAGGCCAAACCTTTACTTAAGCCCTAAAATGCAATATCATACTTAAGGCATTGTTTTTATTTATTTTTTTAATTTATTTTTATTTTTTTAAGGCATTGTTTTTAAAAACCTTTCATAGTTAGGGGCACCTGGGTAGCTCAGTAGGTTAAGCACCTTTTAATCTCAGTTCAGTCAGGTCATGATCTCATGGTTTGTGAGATCAAGCCCCCCATCTGGCTCTGTGCTAACAGTGCAGAGCCTGCTGGGGATTCTCTCTCTCCCTCTCTCTCTGCCCCTCCCTTGTTTGCACTCTTGTCTCTCTCTCTCTCAAAACAAATAAATACATTTAAAAAACAAATCTCTTATAATTAGGGGCACCTGGGTGGCTCAGTCGGTTAAGTATCCCACATCAGCTCAGATCATGATCTCGCCCCACTTCAGACTCTGTGCTGACAGCTCAGAGCCTGGAGCCTGCTTCAGATTCTGTGTCTCCCTCTTTCTCTGCCCCTCCCCTTCTCATGCTCTGTCTCTCAAAAACAAATAAATGTTTAAAAAATTTTTTTTAATCTCTCATAAATAAGAAGATATCAAAGAGAAAACTTAAGAAAAATGACAATTTTATAATATGATATTTCAATGTTTTATTAATATTACTAGAAGTATGATTTTAAGTATTCATTCTACATTATTTGGAAAAATTAAAATAATCATTCAAAATTAAGGTACATCATTAAGATCAATCTCTAAAGCGGGGATCCATTGTCAGCAACGGGAGACCATGGAAAAGCAGCCCATATTTGTAAAAACATCTGAGCAGAAATTTCACTAGACTTTGGGGCCTAGTCTGACTTTAACTAATGACTGAGGAAAAATTAAAACCATTGAAATGTTTGCAAACAAATTCCCCAAAGGAGAGAGGAATAAAACCTTGGCTTGAGAAATTATGCTGTAGATAGGAAACTGAGTACATTTACTGACTGCCTAGTAGAAGAAATGGTGGAAAAAATAATGCACAATTCTTACCAAATATTTTCTTTCCAGATGAAAGAAATGGAAATTTTGTTCTTATGTTTTATAATCTATGGGCTCAATCATTTTGGTAGATAGTATACTGGTCTTTTTTTTTTTTCATTTATACTTTGTAGTTTTTATAGAAAATATTTTTAATGTTATGATTACTAGCCTTCAAAAGAGACCCAGACTTACATATGAACTTCAAATATGCCATAAAACTTAAAACAAATGGTCTTAACACATGAAACAGAATAGGATAAATCAGTAGTCCAAGGAAGTAATTAAATCCCAAACTCTCTCAAATCACATTTACTCAATCTTAAATCACTTTGAAAGCAGGTCAGATCAGTGTAAGCATTTAATCTATTTCAAAAAAAAAACCCTAATTATATATTTTAATTAGAATTAGGATCTTTCCATTAAAACTTAGTTCCTTAGAAAAATACCAAGAGGACTAATATCTCTTTTTTTCCTTCTCACATATTCAACCAAAAAGCAGTCATTGCGGGACCATAACTTGGAAATAGTTAAGCATCAGTAAGGTTCTACCATCCACAAGGGAGGGAATAGAAAAGCAAAGCTTACAATTTGGAGGATAATGAAGTACAAAGTGTTTGTTTATTTCACTAGGGTTTGGTTTTCTCATGTAAGGTCTGTGATCAAGTTTCAAGTTTATGATTTTAAACATTAACCCTCCAAACATTAATAATCCACCTGTGGTTGTTAGTAACTGCTAACTATCTAAATATAAACATGGGATTGATTGCAAGTGCTCCTTTTTTGTCTCTTTATAAGATACTGATTTTGCTCAGACTTACTTCTTTTTCAGCATCTTCTAGTTTCTTTTTCTTACTCTCGGGCATTAAATCATCCAACCAGCTGAGTTCCCGTTTTGTAAACAGAAAGTCCATCAATTTTCTCACAAATACCAGAGCTAACACCTGAAGTAAACAATAAGATAGTTTAAAACAGGGAAAAAATTAAAATGGGAGATGTAGCTTTGGTTCTTGATGGAAACAAGTCAATTTCAATTAAGACTGAGATTAAAGTGGCACTTGAAGTCATGTGTGTATGAGACACTGTACCTTTGCATCCTTCAGTTCCTTTTCTTACCACATCCCCAGAATAACAGCTCTGATTTTGCCCAGTAAAGGAGTCTCTTAAAGAGGCCATTAAAAATAAAAAAAAAAAAGCCCTACAAAATATATTGGATTGTTTCCTTTGATAGATGTAATTAATAATTTGCATTATTTTAATGAACATTAAACCATTCTTATCTGTGATAATATTTTAAATTATTTATAGTCACTCAAATTCAGTATTTGAATGCAGTATTTGAAATTTATATGAAATATTTCATAAAATTTAATTTTAAAATCCCCCTAGTTTTTCAGATTTGCTAGTGCTACATCTTCAATGCTACATTTTCAAAGTTTACATTTTTCTACCTAACTTCAATTAATTCAGACCACTGTGAATATTCAGAATGATAGAGACAAAACTAATATGAATCACTGAAATTCATATATAATCTCAAACTCTATCTTAGTCACTAGTGTTAGTAACTCAAGTTTATGCCATGGTTTCCAATAATAGTTCAAAATGACTCTATTGTTCCAATTTCAGTTTTATGTGTTTCCAAAGCAGAAAATCAGAGGAGGAGAAAAAAAAAGTGGACTTAAAAGTTTCTTACCATCATGGGAAAGACAATAGCAGCTCTTGAAACTTTTATTATCCACAAAAGGCCAAGGCAACTCATCTGAATAACTGTGAAGAGATGGACTTTTCGAAGTGGTACATGCCTTAGGTATATAAAATCTGGCTGATGTTTTGCAGGCATCCAGAAGAGCTTTATTCTATCAAAGAACTAAAAGATAAACAGACTAAATTTCTTTTTACAGACAACAATACAGGTAGGACAAGTAGATATTCAATATGGTCCAAAATATGGTACATCTGGATCACACTTAAGTTGACCTCTGGGCATCAGGACAATGGGATTGCCATGCGTACACTCTGAAATGCACAATTTCAGTTTCATAGCATTCCACATTTTCTTGAATATGGAGACAGGCCATAACTTAGAAGAGTTTAAAAATATTAAAGTCAATGCTAAATGTTGCTGCTTGGAAGAGTATAGCCTTGAGAGAAAAAAGAAAATCATCATCCTCTTTCTCATTATCACATCGCAATTAGCTTGGGGATTCCTTGGCTCCCATACTCTCTCCTCTCCTGAAAGAGCTCATCCATACCCAAGGTTCAAATTTCACATGCTTGTTAGAGACTTCTAGACCTAGGTCTCTACTTCAGCACTCTCGGTCTTGCTCTCTCTCTCTCTCCTGAGCTCTCGACCCAGATCCTGCTGCTGAGTAGGATGTTTTGATTCTGCTGTTTTGGCCCTGACACTTCGACCCCCAACAAGGTTTTGAGGTTGTCTTTAGAAACACAAACACCTTAGCCACAAAGACTTAACCTAGATGAATTACTGTTAATAAAGTATTTTCCAGAGCAAACTTTGTTAATTTGATTTCTTGATCAATTTCCTATAGTGCACGGTCAAATCATTTACAATTTTTTCAACTGTATTCTATTATTAGTTCTGTTTAAGTCTTACCATGAAGGTAGTCCAATTATTTTTGACTATATATTATTGTTACAATTTTGATTTTGAGACCATTTTTATGTACCAACGCAAAATTTCCCAATTCAAATTTTATATATGAAATTTTCACAAGAAGTTTAAATCTTCAATCACATTCTACTTACTAACATATTTTACTGCAGGTTAGTTTTATTCTATGTGGAGCATTTTGTTTAATATTTCTCAGGCCGATTTTTGCAGTTTCCAATGTTTCCAACAAGAAGTGATTATTTAGAAAATGATGGTTTCAATCACTGTCAGTTCTTTCATACCATTTCTACAGTAATATCTATTATGCATCTTCAAAAGACTGATATTTGATCTTATCTTTTAGCTAATTTATGAAAAATTGCAAGCAATTCTCATCAGGTATTCCAAAATTAATATGCCAAGCAACAAATACCCATGGAGTAAAATGTCAGGGCCAAACATCCTTTTTTTTTTAACCAAAACTTGCTATATATATATATATATATATATATATATATATATATATATATATATTAAGAATCTCAAACTCAACATAAACCCATCTTTTCTTCTGTGTTCCTTGACTTATGGCACAGCATGACCTTTCTTCCCTCAGTCATCTAAACCAGAATCATATGTAGGTTAGTTCATCCACTGTTCAGGTATTTATTTATATTCATTAATACCTTCTAAAATCATTTATTGAAAACCTTCTATGCCAAGTACCAAGTGCTGAATTTCTTTTTCTTGGTTTATCCTTCTCCATATTGTCCCCAAACATTTCATTAGCTCTTATTTCTATCTCTTAAATATCTCTTTAAATTACATGTCATTAAAGAAAATTTGGTGATTGGTGGAGGTGGGAATAGGGAGGAAATAAAGTAAAATCTCTGGCTTATAACTGAATGTTTCAGTTTCGATAGAACTTGTTTTTCCCAGCTATCATTTCTCCATTTGTGAAGCTGTTATTGCATAAGTGTTCTTCAGTGTGTGGGTGCTTCCATTGTTATTGCTTAAATGGCACATTTGCTTTACTTTGGATTCCTGAAGTGTTGGAATGAATATAGATGTGGTTATATATCTGAGTATAGAAACAGCATTCATAAGAACACTGTGATCTGTTTTTTCTGCCATGTTGCACAGTGAGAAGCCTAGATAATATGTTTCATAATATTGCCAAACAGGTAGCATACAGGTTCCTTCAGCATATAGGGTAACTAAGTAACCTGCTCCTGGAACTGTTGGTACCCAGCACATGCTTATTACTACTCAAGTAACGATAATCATGACACATGTATCCTGAGTTTTGCATTTGGCTTTTATCTTGCCCTAATCTCAATATTCCACTCCCCCACCCAGTTAGCCCAAATAGGAATTTCAACTTCCTGAGTTCGGGGTTCCCTTAAATTTTCACTAACCCTGTTCTCAGTGTGAGACCCTGCTTGCTGTTTCATTCGTGCTATTTAAAACTCATTTTACTTTTCTCATGGGCCTTTAATAAAGTTTTCCTCAATTTTCAATTCACACCCCAAATAATTCCAAAACCTGACATGCTTGTTTAGTTCTAAACCTCATGGGTATAAAATCATGTGAGTGGAATTAGGAGGAAAAATCTGTTGAAACCTATCAAAATGATTTTACTTTGTTTCTTAAACTTCTGCTGCTGTATTTATGTGAGCCTGGGGCCTAATAATAAATACTTTTCACTTACAGATGAAATTAGTGCTCGTGGAACTTTTGCCAAAGGCAGAAAACAAACAAAAAAGCCCACAAAAAACAGTAAAACAAATAAAACCTCTTCGGTACTCTTCCCTATCTGCATTATCAAACCAATTCTTTCAAAATACATTTTTCATACATGAAATTATAAATGAGCAAGTTAAATCCAATTTGAGTAAAATTTAAATGCATAACACTTCTCAACCATTTCCCTCTCCCAGGTAAATTTCACCCAGTGTCAGGAAAAAACAGTCATAGTATCTATTTGGGATGTCCAGTGATCTTTCAATGACTTTGTATTGAAGTTTTGCCTCAGTTCTGACATCCAGTACTTTCCTAAGGCTGAAGTGCTTTTTCTTCTCCCAAAGTCAGAAACTGGTTAGTTGTTCATTCAGGAAGAGATTTCTGTGCTGCCTGTCCCACAGTGTCAAGAATTTAGCGAAGCTATCCCCCATGGTATTATTGCCTTGGTATCCGTTCTGTTTGGCTAAGCAGCCTGTGGTCACCTGAATTGACAACTAGCCCCTCATGTAAACACATGCCCTGGACTACAGCCGGCAGACTAACAAGCAAATGTAAGTTTCTGAGATGGCTCCCCGAAATGTCCTTACAATAAGCACTCTCCCCTAACTCCCACAGCCTTCCCCTTGTGTGCTCCTTAGAAAAGACCCCCATGGGGCTTCCCAAAACCCTGCTCTTTTTATTTAAATTGATCAATCAGCCTTAGACCAGGAACCCCAAAGCACTTTATCCACATATCCAAATAAAGGCACGTGGCCCAGGTCTTGATTCTTTCTCTGTCTGTACTCTGCCTTGACTTCCTCATGTGGTCCCTTCAGGTGTGCCAGGTACTTCCTCCAGGACCTGTGAGTGATGAATTACCTATTTCAATTTCTCCTGTAGTCTACCGTTGAACCACAGCTTGCCATCCAGCACCCTGTGCTCCATTAACATGTGTGAAATTTGACAAAATCATAATAACCAGGTGACCTTTCTTTCATGTATCTGAACAGCAATGTGACTAGTAGTGTCATAGGAAAAGCAGCAATTTATGTATTCCTTTTGGCCAACAAATTTATTTTCAATAAATAGCCCTCAGAATTCGTCTCCTTTCAAGAAAACTTTAGTGCTTCAGATCAATAATGTTAAGTTATAAGACAAGATTATTCAAAGGTAAATTTAAGTAGAAATCTGCCTCTGTCCTTGTGTGGCATTCTTCCCTGTGTCTCTCTGTGTCCTCTCTTCTTAGAAGGCTGCCAGTCACTGGATTTAGGGTGAAGATGAGCTCATTTTGAGTTCCAAAACTAATCTATCTCCAAGACTCTATCTTTAAATAAGGTCACATCCTGAGTTTCCAAGCGGGCATGAATTTGGGGGAAGCACTATTCAAACCATTATAGTATCATAAGCACGAATAATTTGCTAAGCACCTCCGCAAAGATTTACAATACAGTTGTGGTCATTTTAAAATGTGTCCACAAATTCTTCCACACTAGTCTCTTCAAGAGATGGGGTCTAATTTCCCTCCACGTGTGCAAGCTGGATATAATGACTCACCCCTAACATACAAGAAAAAAATGGAAGTGACCATGTGTGACTTTGGCAACTAAGCCAAAAGGCACAGTGACTCCACCCTCCCTCTCTTTCGGGTTGCTCACGCTGATGGAAGTTAGCTTCCGGGTCATGAGGGCACTTGAGTCTCCTGTGGAGAGGCCTGTGTGGCAAAACAACAACAACAAACAAACAAACAAACAAACAAACCTGGGGCATCCTGCCAAAAGCCAGGGAGAGGCTGATGCCTTTTCCCACAGCCGTGTGATCAGCCATCTCAGACCCTGGTCCTCCAGTCCTATTCAAGCTTTCAGATGCCTGCAGACCTTGTCCACGTTCTGACAGGAACCACATGAGACACCTGGAGCTAGAACCACCCGGCTAATCTACTCCCAAATTCATAACCCGCACAAAATGTGAGATAGTAAGTGTTTGTTGTTTAAAGCCACTAAGTGAACTGTAATCTGTTGTGCAGCAATAGAAAATTCGTATAATTATATTGATTTAACCAATACTTAAACAACTAAGTTTTCCTTTGTACCTTGAAATTGCCTCACCCTGTACCTTTACTTTTAATTTTTTAAAAAAAGAATCCTATAACTATAATTGTAACAATGATAGAAACACAAGCATAAAAGGAAAAGAATCACCCAGGGTCTCACTACCCTAATAAATTGTTTTTATTTATCTGCCTTCCTTTTTGGTCCATTCACACTCACAGCTTTATAAACCTATGGTAGGTACAGCTTGTTTTCCTACTTTTTTGCTTTGGATTATTAAGCCATAAGCATTTTTATCATGTTCCTTTTATGGCCATCATAATTACCAATTTTAAATGACTGTACCATAGACCACTTAATTATTTTACTGCTGATGGATAGTTGGGTTATTTCCAATATTTTGATAGTATGTGTTACAATGAACATCTTTGTGCATACAGTTCTTTTCTGTTCCATACACACGATTACAGTAGCAAAGATTAAAAGCTTTTGGATATATTTTGAAATATACTGCCATTACTTTTCTAAGAGGGTTGTAAAGTCTAAACCTTATACAGTTTTAACATAACTTACGGTAAACAAAAGTACCTTAAAGTTAGGAACCAGGTTGAAGAAATTTAATTGTGGTCTGAAAGCTGATCGTCAGATGATGTCATTTTCTTAGCTATCACATGATTTAGCATGAATCGACCCAAGATAAGTCATCACAGATGTGCATCATTTACTGAAAGCAATTTACCTGAATTCCCTTTAGAGATGAAGCACCCATATAAAGAAACACCCCATAAAGCACAGGCATGGGAATAAACTGTAAAAGAACAATTAGAAAAAAGATACAAGTTATTTTCAAATAACTGCTCATGCTGTTTTTCACTTACCAAAGAAAAACACAGAAAAATATTTTAGAAGCAATAGTGGGCCAAGTCAGAAGACTCAGGTTCAAATCCCCACTCTAGCACTTTTTTAGCTGCATAATCTTAGGTCAGTTACTTAAGCTCTCTGTGCCTTAGCTTCCCCACATATATCTAAAGAGGGATGGGGATAATAGGGTTGTTATGAGTATTTAATAGGCCAAAGCCTAAAAAAGTACATTTATAACACATAATAAACAATAAACTATTATTATTGTACTACTATAGGGAAATTTGAATTTTGCCTCACAATGATAAGATAATGATTTTTATGTGACCACATGAATATAACTATACAAACAGGACAAAATAAAACAGATGACAGTTGTTTTTAATCTACCTGGAGGGGAAAAAAAGGTATGTGTTCAATGAAAACTTTGATATTTTCTGTACCAGAGTGCTGAGACTATTTCAGGCACAGAAATATTTAAGATGGTGAAAATTTTTGTTAGCATTTGAAGAGAAAAAACAAGACTAAATTTACTGAAAAGAGAACTACATTTATCTGGAAATAATTTAGGTGAATATTAGATATATTTTATAAAGTTATATTTATTTTTATAAAGTTTGTTTATATTATGTAACTTTATTGGTTTCTTAATTGGTCAGAAACATAAAGCAATCTTGATATAAGCCTATTCTATTTATAACTGTCTAATTTTCTGTCATAGAGATAGTGAAATTTGGTATCAACAGTGTGTAGTGAAATTTGCTATAGTTTTTTTTCAATTTTTACCATTGTTTTAAATAAATACAAGTGTTACTTTAGTCTTTACCAGTTCTGAGCTGGAGTAGCACTTCCAAATGAATCTGATGCAGGTTATTATAGTAGTTTAGAAAAATGTAATTATTTATGCCATTGAAATGTTTTCTCCAGGGGCACCTGGGTAGCTCAGTCAGTTAAGCATTGGACTTTGGTTCAGGTCATGATTTAGCAAAGATTCGTGAGTTCAAGCCCCCTGTTGGGCTCTGTGCTGACAGCTCAGAGTCTGGAGTCTGCTTCAGATTCTGTGTCTTCCTCTTTCTCTGTCCCTCCCCTGCTCTCACTCACTTACTTGCTCTCTCTCAAAAATAAGTAAACATTAAAATAATTGAAATGTGTTCTCCAATTACATAGTTTTAAATGAGGAAACTTTTTTTAAAGTAATTTCTATGTAAAAGTTAAGATATGTGTTAACCAGGCTAATACAGATATTTATTTATAAATAAATATAGTAGCTTTGGAAACTATGACTCAGAATATGCTTTTAAAATAATGTAATTTAGGGGCGCCTGGGTGGCGCAGTCGGTTAAGCGTCCAACTTCAGCCAGGTCACGATCTCGCAGTCTGTGAGTTCGAGCCCCGCGTCAGGCTCTGGGCTGATGGCTCAGAGCCTGGAGCCTGTTTCTGATTCTGTGTCTCCCTCTCTCTCTGCCCCTCCCCCGTTCATGCTCTGTCTCTCTCTGTCCCAAAAATAATAAACGTTGGAAAAAAAAATTTTTTTAAATAATGTAATTTAATTCCCTTCCTCATCTTTTCTCCATTTAATTTTTGGGTTGGTTAAGGTTATTTGATAAAGCTTATCTGTAACTATACACTGAAGTGTTCAATGGATGGTTTATGTTCACAGTATTGAAAGATTTAGGCTTCAAACATTCTCTTACACTGATTTCTAAATATGACAACTAAAATGAAGTTTTATTTGCATAATAAAGTAATAAGAAAGAAAAAAAGATATTGGGATTAAAGATGAAGAATGGAGCTAACATCTAGATGTTCTTACATTATGCCAGATATTTGCAAACATGTGAACTGTTCAATTTTTCTCTTTTTACTGGACTAGCTCAGCATAATTCTAGCTCTATAGTTACTTATATAACATAGAAATGAATTCTTACAAATGTACTTGCAAAAAATGATAAATATAAGTAAACTTGTATAAATGACTGAAGGATTCCATCAAAATTTTCAAAGTACAGGCAAATAAAATGAGCTATAATTTAAAATATAATTGACATACCTTGGTAATATCTGCCAAAATTCTATGACAAAATAATTACTCTTTAACGCTTTTCAAAATGGATTCAATTATTTTAAATGTGAAAAAATAAGTATATACAATAGTGATGTCCATGTAGCAGTTTCATGTAACATTTAATACACAAAACTGCATATGTGGCCATGACCATTACATTGCTCATCTCTGTACCTCTATTTTGCACTAGGTAATGTTAATTGCAAATACATCGGACAAGAAAATAGAGACTTTATTTCATGCAGGCCTACAGTGAACTCAAGTCAAAAATTAGCTAAAAATGAGTGACCTGTCCCCATAACTTGGTAACTGTTTCAAAATTATGATAATAATTTACACATCAAACTTTACTTTGCCAGACTAAATTTCTCATGTATTTAAGGATTCTGAAATATAGCCCATAACTTCCCGTTAAGAAGTTGTATAAACATGGTAAAGAAATTTATCATTTGTATCACATGCTCTCTCTCAACTTCATAAAGGTAGATTTAATTACCTTCAGAATACTGGTCATGAAGACTGATGAACCCATAAGAATAAAAATCATAAGCCCAGTAACCCTTTGCTCCCGAATGCCAAGAAACTTGGGCTGTTCTCCTGGAGCTGAACATTCTGATTCCAGTTTTAAGCTGTTGACATGAGTGATGGACAGGACAGTGGCAGCCACAAACCACGGCAGGCCCATGATGGAGCACACCCCTAGCATGACAGCCACCATCAATAGATCCAGATGGTACCCGCAACCTTTCTGTGGAAAGAAAAGACGATTCTCACAGAAACTGAACTTAGCATGGAGACAAATGATACCACCACCATGAAACCATGAGAATAGAAAAGAGAGATTACCTTGAGTCTTAGACAACTGATTCTAAAATGCAAAACAAGTTAAAGATAAAAAGGTAACAGTGTGAAAACATATAATCCACTTAAAGAAAAGCTGCAAATGTTCCTTTTACAATTATGATTACAGTGACTTCTATCTACTTTAATAGGTTTAATGTATTACTGGGTTAATATTATGTTAGTTTCCATTCTATTTCTGTTGGATAATTGAAGTCATTATTAAATACAGTCACTTCTCTTAGTTTCCTTAAGTAGGCAAGTTGAATCACAATTCGTATATCTACTCATTTGTGATTAATTCATACCAAAAACTTACTGAACACCATATACCAGGCATCAGGTAGAAAACAGAAAACAAAGTAAGGATTGTATCAACAACAACACTCAGAATGGCCTGTGAATAGAAATTACTTCCTGACAATGCTTAAGAAGCCCTTCACATCAGATCTCCTAAAGAGAAACTCTTCTCAAACATTCTGTGTCCAATTGCCTTCTTTTGTCTCAATGGGACGGTGTCCCAATGTCTTACTGGGAAAAATAATATCATGGAATCTAAGCTTCCTTATATTTACCTATTTTTATTCTAATACAGCTTTTATTCTCTATCTTATTCTCATCTGTTTCAGTTTCAGCACCAGAAATATTTGGCCCCTCCCTAAAATGAAAGTTTTTGTGTTTTCTACCTCTCTGTGATCCTGCTCCACTCTCACTGACCTCCAGGTGTTGCAAACTTCCATGCTTTCTAGGACCAGGCAGGAAACATAACTGAGGAAACAGGTGCAGGAGGCATGTGGAGTGGAGATGCAGGGAAGTGAGACAGCTCTCTAGGAGAGGGTGAGTGGCTGAGGGCAGGTGGGGAAGAGCAAGCAGCATTTCCCTCGCCTTCCCCCCACCATAGGAAATCATCAGCAAAAAGCCTCAGAGGTAGCAAATGGCGTGGCCTACTTTACACTCCAACTATTAATGACTACTTCATGAAAGGTAGTATGATAAAGTGGTTAACGGCTTAGGTTCTGGAGATAGGTGGCCTGGGATCAAATCCTGGCTCAACGAATGTCCCTGGACAAATCATTTAACCTCTTGTGCCTCTGTTTCCCTATCTGAAAAAGGATGATGGTGATAACAGGAGGCACCCCTTTGGGTTGTTGTGAGAATTAAATTATTTAACTTTGAAAATCATTTAGAACAATATCTAATATGCACTAAGCATTCAGTAAATGTTAGGGACTATTATATTCTGGCAATTGAACAATAATTTTTTATTTGTACTCATTTGTTTCAAGGCTCCTCAATAAAATTACATGTTTCTTAAGGGCAGGTAACTTATATAATTTCTCAATATTTCCTGTAGTTTTTTTTAAGATTTATTTATTTTTGAGAGAGAGAGCACAAGTGGGTTAGGGGCAGAGAGGGAGAGGGACAGAAGATCCAAAGTGAGCTCTGCACTGACAGCAGCAAGCTCGAAGTGATACAGGGCTGGAACTCATGAGCTAGATCCTTGAGATCATGACCTGAGCCAAAGTCAGACGCTCAACAGACTCAGCCACCCAGGTGCCCCTTTCCTGTAGTTTTTAACACAATCATTGGCACACAAGAAGCAATCAATAAGGAACAGATTGGCTTTTTTAGAGGGAAATATGCATACTTCAACCATTATAGAATTGGGTTTAATAAGTATAATTTAAAATAAATATAGCCATTAAATTTGTTATTATGAATATGAGCAGAAATTACCAATTCTTCTAGAGGAATAATTTTGGCCTTTTTTTTTTTTTTTTTAACCAGGCAGTTTTACCAAACTACAAGCAGTTTCTAGTTAATATGAAAGCTCCTATAGCCAGGAGTGTGAAATATGCTGAGTATTTGTTGCATACTCGTCCTGGTGGTGTTTTCTTTCTGCTATTTTGTTTTGTTAATCATTCTATTAAGAGAAACACTCTTAAAGTCAATTGTACTTCCTTTTCTTTCTGTCTACCCCTACAAAATTATAAAAGTGCAGGAGACGACAGGAGAAAATGGCAGATATCCACATAAGGACATTTTCCTCCTGTGTTGTCACCACGACAGTGGCAACCTTCCTTGGGTTGGCTTAGCTGTAGCAATGTTCCAGCTCACGAGAATGCCTAAATTCAAATTCTCTCGTGAATAGGACTCTAGAAACTTTTTTTTTTTTTGCAAGTAACTCAGGAAAGATTTTTATTCCTAAGAGCTGGGACACCAGAAGAGAAACACTCTGGTGTCAGCTTAACCAAAACAGCATTGGAAGAAGCTTCACCAGAGCCACACTATGGTCTTCTAGTCCAATGAACAATTTGGAAGATGTAGCCACATAGAATAGAACTCAAATTTTGGTCCCTTTAAAGGACCATGTCTTAACCAGTTAGAGGAGTGTTTTGTCCTGGGGACTCTGGAATGAGAAGGATGTAGAAAGCAAAGGACCTAGCTCTGCCTCTGAGGGAGTATAGTGTGAATGGTGCCCCCTGGGCTGTTTTGCAAAGTTAAGGTACTGCTAAGAGAGAATGGAAGAAGTGCTAACAGCCATGAGATAAACATCAGAGGAGGGCAGGGGACAGGGGCTTTGAGATTCTCACTTGCGCATGCGTTTTTTGGCACATCCTAGGCTTTCCCAGGGTTCATGTTCACTATGGCTTAATAATACAAGGAAGGCCTTCTTCATGATAGTGATTTCCTATAGCTCTTACTTAGGGTTTTACAAATACGATACAAATATAAACAGTGCAATTCTGGATTGCAGGAAGCAGACAAAATAATGGTTTCAGAGTGAATAATTTCATTTTTAAATTTAGAAAGCTAGTTTTGTAAAACACAAGTATCTAATAAACACAAAATATAATCCCCTCCCGATTTTGTTGTACAGTAATGGGAGCATCTTAATTTCATGTGAATCAAAGGAAATAAAGCAGGGCTGGCACTTCTACTAATTAATCATCATCCTTCTTGCGTTTCATTAAATATCTTAAAACTTGGTCTTTGTACCCAAATTATTAGCTGATAGGCATGACAGCCAAAGAGAAGCATCCCTTTGTCAGAGAGAGAACTCTGTACCTTCTAACATATTTCTGTAGATTTTTCTGAAATAAAGACAGAATCGGAGCTTTTATTCTCACTTTCATCCATGAATCACAGGAAATGGACATATGGGAGGAAAAGGGAGCATAGCAACAGGTGATGCTACACCAGACCCCACTAAAACCAACATGCAGCAAGACAAGAGGCCAGCCAAGAGGACCATCTGATACCCAGATGCCACTGCTGAAAAAATTCATTTCAAAGCTTGGCAGCAATTTCCTGCATCTGTCAAGTTAACCACATAAAAGACTATAGATTGACATGAAGAACCAGGCTGACAAAGAGGGCAAAAAAGAACATATCAAATGCCATAATCATCAAGAGAATGTGGTGCCAAATGAATGTTGCAAATGCATTCATTTACTCAAGTGATCTGAGATTGTATTGCTGTTTATTAAAAATGATGTCAAAAGAAGACTGAACTGTCTACAGAAACATGTAGAAAAGCCCACAGTTGTATCTTAACAGAAACTTTCTTTTCTGTAACATAGTGTCTTTCTTTCCACTTTTAGAGAATGTACTTTTAAAAAAGGCAGTTATTTCTAATGCTTTTCAAAGGGATTCAGCTAACCTATGCCTAGCCCACTTCTCTAGGTAAAAGACAAGAAGTGCTAGAGAGAGTATGGATTTGTATCTATATAGAATATAGATAATAATTTGCCTTCTCAAATTTTTACACTTGCATTTTGCAGCTTCTATCACTCCTGAATGACCCCAAAGACCATGAGGTGCAGTGAGTTGAAATTTTGCTAATTTGAGCCTCTTCATTCTGAGGGAGGAGGAAGTCACTTAGTGAGTTGGGCCAACTTCTTCAGCTCAACACAGCTTTACTCTGTATGTAGTAACACTCTCAAAATGATATAAACATTTTTAATGGCATGAAAAAATGCCCTATAAGAAAACTACTTTGGTAATGGAAGTGAAGAAAAGGTGAAAAGATCTAAAATGTAAGTTTGGGAGACATACAAATGATGAATTCCAAGGTGACTTGGATATATGATGTGGACTGAAATACACACTGTGGGGTCAACCAGGTGTTTGTTACAGAAACTAGAAAACATGATTCATTAAGCTTTTGGGGGGCATAATTCAACCAAGGCAAAAATGGGTTTTCAAGTGATAAAAAAAAAATTAGCAAAAGCTGAAAATGTGGTTAACTTGTGGTCTGGGGATATACTCAAGAAACACGTATCTTTTCCTGACAGTGTGGTTCAAGTCAAAGCCAAGAGACTGTGCAAACATTTCGGTGAAGCAACAGGTGGGGAGAGTAGCTATGGAACAAACCGTTACTCTGACTCAAGAATGTTCTGAGAATGTGATTTTTTTATTGTTATTAACAGGAAAATCAGCAGCAGCAGACCGCACTATACTGAAGCTTATAATGGTTAGAGGTTAAAAAAAAAAAGTGTTCAGCATACGTAAAATATATCTTCACTGGAAGGAACTTGCTTTGCAAACATCCACATCTAAGGAGGAGGATGGGGTGTTCAGACTTACAGGGACCAAGAAAAGATTAATTCTTCTACTCATGGCAACATAGCAGAGCTTATGATGAAGTCAGACTTGCTCTATTATTTACTAAATCCAGGCTATGAAGGGATAAAATATAAACATTTGATTGCATAGTCACTTATTTGTATAATAAAAAATTAATTATAAATAATGTAATATATTTTAGTAATTCAGCCTCAAGTTTATTTCAGGCTTTGGGGAGCCTGGGTGGCTCAGTCGGTTAAGCATCTGACTCTTGATTTTGGCTCAAGTCATGATCTCGCAGTTGTGAGTTCAAGCCCCATGTCCGACTCTGTGCTGACAGTGAGAAGACTGCTTAGGATTCTCTGTCTCCCTCTCTTTCTGCCTCTCCCTGGACCCCACAAAATAAATAAATAAAATTTTAAAAAATGAAATGTTTTAATGCTACATTTAATTCTACAAATGCAAGTACTTGAAAAGCCCACTTAAAAATGTTACATGATATTTTAGCTATTCCGCATAATATTTAAAGGGAAAATATAGTGTATGTGCTGAGTTGGAGCTTTGGAAAGACTGTGTATATCAAGGGCCTACCACAGGCTCATGAAGAAGGAGGAGCAGGTGTTATGTAATTTATAAGGTTTGGAGACCTAGAAAGAACAAGGAAATGGAATGGCCAAAAAAGGTTATATTACCCTCAGCAATCTTCACTTACTTCTATATTTTGTTTCAATACGGTTCCATTAATATATAGGAAAAAATACTGCCTGTACTAGTTTAGCTGGTAGTCTTTACAAAGAATAATTTTTTAGTGAGATCAGTGGGATTTCTGCCTAATTATAAAGGCTAAAAACAAAAACAAAAAAACCTAACTTACTTGAAAGGCTTACTTTCTTCCTAAAATAGGAGTCTTTTAGCTCATTTTAAAATGTGTAATATAATGAAATATATATACAGCCATCAAAAATGATAATGCAGATATATATTGGCATGGGATGACTACCATGTTAATGCTCTTACATGAAAAATAATACAAGTAACATAGGTCATATGAAAATATATATTTGGGTATATATCAAAATTTTAACAATATAATCTCTAAGAAATGAAATTATGTTTTTCACTTTTGTCTTTTAACTTTTTATATTGTCTAATTTTTTTTCATTTATTCTTTTTAAAGTTTACTTATTTTTGAGAGAGACACAGAGAGCACACACACACAAGTGGGGGAGGGGTAGAAAGACAGGGAGAGAGAAAATCCCAAGCAGACTCTGTGCTGTCAGCTCAGAGTCCGATGTGGGGCTCAATTCCACAAACCAGGAGATCATGACCTGAGCCGAAATCAAGAGTTGGACACTTAACCGACTGAGCCACCTAGGTGCCTCTATTGTCTAATTTTTTTTTTTTAATTTTTTAATGTTTATTTATTTTTGAGAGAGACAGACAGACAGACAGACAGACAGACAGACAGAGTGTGGACAGGGAAGGAGCAGAGAGAGAGGTAGACACAGAATCTGAAGCAGGCTCCAGGCTCTGATCTGTCAGCACAGAACCCAACGCGGATCTCAAACTCACAAACTGCGAAATCAGGACCTGAGCCGAAGTCGGACGCTTAACCGACTGAGTCATCCAGGCGCCCCCCTATTGTCTAATTTTTACACCAAAAGCATATGTGACTTTACAATGAAAAATATAAAGATGCTTTCAGTTTTAAAAAATAAATCAGTGTCTGGGAAAAATGTTTTCCTACTTCTTAACAGAGTTAACAGACTAACAATATTCAACCTAAAGTACTTACACATGTTTTATAGATCTATTTGATCAACTATGTAACTTTCCTAATTAAGTTGTGGCAGTATTTGCTTTTGCAGATGACAGATATCTTAAAAGCAAATAATATTTTTGAATAATTGTTATTAAATAAGTAGTCTATTAGACTTGGAAATCTGAATTCCTTGTTTTGAGGCCTGCACGTCACTCAAAGTTTCCAATATTGAATGGTGTAGTTCAGTGGTATTTTGGATCCAGCTCGTATAGGCTTATGGGAACCAATAGTTTAATTTCCTAAATTTCTTCCTGCCAATTGATGTCACATTGGTAACTTGAAATGGGTCACGGTGGGAGTATTCACACCATGAAAATCAGCAAACATTATAAACCAGGGTCTCTCTTTTGTAAATGCCGAGAACTGGCTGTTAACCATGTACCAGCATACCACTTGTCTAGTTTCCAAGACTTTTCTGACATATTTTTGTAAAATTATCTTTCTAAAAAAAGTTTTTATTTAAATTCCAGTTAATTAACATGCAGTGTAATATTAGTTTCAGGTGTACAATACAGTGATTCAACACTTCCATGCATCACCCAGAGATCATCACAAGGGCCCTCATTAATCCCCATCACCTATTTCACCCATCCCCCACCCACCTCCCCTCTGGTAACCATCAGTGTGTTCTCTATAGTTAAGAGTCTGTTTCTTGTTTGTCTCTCTCTTTTTCCCTCCGCTCATTTGTTTTGTTTCTTAAATTCCACATAATTAAGAATTTTGTCTGACAAAAACAAAAAGTGAAATTGAACACACTCCTTTTAAAAAAGGTTTGGAGCACTAGAGTTAGTTTCTACAAAGAGAATGAAGAACGCTCTTTGTTTTCAAATAGACACACATTTTCTCCAAAATATACACCAAATTCCTTCTTAGTAAGATTTATTATAAATAATTGTGCTTTCTTACATTAATGCCATTACTATTTTCCATCAAATAGTTCAATCACAGATTGTTTAATCCTTCTAACAAACATACTTATGAAATCCTGTAAAGTAAGATTTCTGTTGCTCTGACAAGGAAACTTTCCCTAGAGTTTAAAGAGTATTGGGGCGCCTGGGTGGCGCAGTCGGTTGAGTGTCC